CGACTACCATTGTGATTTACTGATCAAACTCACTGTAGTCTGTCATTAGGGATAGAGTATATATAGTCTGCAGTCCTGAGATGACGGACATTCTCAGTCAGCTTCTTGCTTCCTCTCAAACTCCATTTGTGTTACATAAACCACTAGTCTGAAAAGAATTGTAGGCAGGGTTGATTTATTTCATGGTGTCTCCGACTTTTGTTGACAATTACATCTTTTCCAAAATGGCTGAATGGATGGAAGTTATATTGGAAGTCTAGCACCAATTTCTTCATGGCATTAGGAAAATGGAAGACAGTTCTTACTTTGAAACTGTTGAGTTTGTTATCTCAGGAGCCACAAGGGTTGGATGCTAATCTTTAAGAAGATAGGTAGCCGTGGAATGGCGTTCAGACTGGTTCAAAGATTCCTGGTTTAGCTTTTGATAGATAGAAGTCTCAAATCTAATTCAGAGGACGTTAACAAAACTTGTCTTCACAAGGCACTGGCAGATGAAATTATATATGTAACTGATGTTAAATCACCATTGACTATTAAACATTTGTGTCAGTATCAGCATTGACAGAGAACACTTGCCATCATGGACAATATTCCAAAAATAACAGACAATTTCTCTGAAAGGGTTGTTTAGTCTGTCTTACAGACCCTGATACAAATATATCAAATATAGCCCACGCAAGTCTATAATGTTTGTCGACCCGTGAAGATTCCGGGGTAGAATAGGTCTTCAGCAACCCATGCTTGCCGTAAAAGGTGACTATGCTTGTCGTAAAAGGCGACTTACAGGATCGGGTGGTCAGGCTCGCTGACTTGGTTGATGCATGTCATCGATCCCAACTGCGTGGATCGATGCTCATGATATTAATCACTGGATTGTCTGGTCCAGACTCAATTATTTACAGACCGCCGTCCTATAGCTGGAATATTGCTGAGTGCGGCGTTAAACAACAAACCAACCAACCAACTATAATGTTTGTCAAGTCTAGATTACTGCAGTATCAGGAAATGAAGAGAGTCTCCCCGCCCAACAAGGGGGATATATAAACGGACTCTGTCCGTCTGTCTGTACGTCCGTCATGTTTCGTTTCTGGAGCATAACTCAGGAACCGTTCAATTTTTTTTCATCAAGATTTGCAGGTCTGTCAAGTACATGCTGAACTGGTGCCTTTTGCTATTTAGAAATTTTAGAAATTTTTATTTTTTACGTTTCCATGGCAACAAGATGGACTTAGGTTCTGTGAGGGTAGGGTTCGTTTCCAGAGCATAACTCATAAACCGTTCAATATTTTTTAATCAAACTTTGCAGGTCTGTCAGGTACATGCTGAACTGGTGCCTTTTGCTACTTAGAAATTTTAGAAATTTTTATTTTTTACGTTTCCATGGCAGCAAGATGGAACTAGGTTCCAAACTCTTCTTTTTTTTACAATTTCAATGACAAGTTCCACCTCGGTTAAAAAATGTTAGGGTTTGTTTAGATTTAATTATGTCATAAATTCTGCAACAGGGGCGGGGGATATAGCCCCGTTAGTGGCAAACTCTTGTTATATTTTCATTAAGATAATTGAACAACTGTTTTTTTCTGTACGATATGTTCATTTCAGAGACCAGATGTTAGTCTAAGGGTTGTTCTACACTTGCTTTTATGCAGTGAAACTTTTCATTGATGTATTTATCCCAAGTGGTCCTGGCCACATCTCCCCATGCACACTATACAAACCCCAGCCCTCACACCCTACACACTCTGCTGGAGCTTACTGGATCATTAATGTCTACTGGTAATCTCCAGAATTTGTTTTTATTATTGTAATTATCTTTATAACTTAGGTGGCATGGAGCCCAGAGATCTCTTTATTTTAAGAAATTTAACATATCTAGCCTGCTAGAAATGTAAACTTTTTCACACTTCTATTGGATGTTTTGGACATTTAAACAACACTGTCTGTGCCATGCTAGTCAGGCAATGCCCTTTCTGGATGTTTGTTTGGGAGCATTTTGTTTTCACAGCAAGTCCACAATGCCATGTGTGTTGGCCTGTTTCATATTGATGTCTTCATTGATTCCTTAACAATGTCAGAAACTGTCCTATTGTTTACAGCTGAGCTATATTAAGAATCGTTGTTGTTTTAATTAGGATTGCAAGAAGAAGTTTTTTTTGTTTTAACAATTAGTAATCATGAATAATTGTTCTCAAATATATACATTGATATGTTCATAGGACAAATGAGTTGGACAAGGAGAGGTGCCAGTTCAAGGCATCCAGCTTTCCACTTAATTTGTCTGTCATTCAATGTAAGAACTTTTTGAATTGTATCAGTGCACACAGCTGGTACAAGTAAATTGGACTGGGAGTTTCACATGCACGACCATGCAAGTTCATAAGCAAGGGGCTGAATAGTTCATTGATTCGTCACACTTTTCAAGAAAAAAAAACAAGACGAAAAATACACTTCAACATTGAAATATTGGCAATCGGCATACCTGATAAACATTTCATGGCATCCACTGACTGTTATGTGGCATCAGGAATGCCACTTAACAGGCCACAGCATCCAACATTCCAAAAGCAGGTTGGTGTCCTCTAAGAACTTTAACTTGTTTGGTGTCCCTGTCATGCTACACCTGGAATATTCAAATTATGTTGTTGATGGTTAAATTGTCACAGTAAAACATGGATGACCTAAATGCTTCTGTAGGAACTGAAGTAAAATCATTGTAGGAAGATTAAGACACCGGGTGAGCCAGAGAATAGTCTTAAATCAGCGGTGGAAACTAATATTTTTAGTCCACTAGTCCTTATAATGATAACAAATAGCAAAACACTTAAAAATGGCATATTTCTACTAGTCCTTATGATACCTTAACTATAGGGCAGTTTGGCAAGGACTACAGGACTCGTGCCAATTTCTAACCCTGCTTGAATGCTTATAAGTCAACAGCATTGCAGCTACAGATTACACCAGCCTATGAATAATCAAACCTGGACCAGTCAATCAATGCTTGGTGGCAGAAGCAACATTGCACCCTTGGAGGGTATTGGGTGAGGTTCCTCCTCTCCAACCCCACGGTAGGATGAATGGAGGGCTAAGTGCAGTATGGTCAAAAAGTTAGTCCTAAGCCATCCCCTCTCACAGTAGAGTTCAATAGAGATGACAGCCGGTGCCTGAGGGGCATCTTCTAATTAACATCCCTTACCCACCCCTTCCTCAACCTGTCACAGAGTTCAGATTGCCCAGGGTTCAATATCTCCTTTACCCCCACCTCCCATCACACCCACCTTCCTGATCTGCCATCATGGACACCCCCTCCCTCAGGGACCTGCCCTACCATCAACACCCTCCTGACCTACCACCACCTCCATCTTCCTGATCTGTCTTTACCCCACCCCTGAACTACAATTGTCTTCACCCCCCTGATCTACCATCATCCCTGCCCCTGCATTACCTCACCCTGGTCCTACCGTTACCCCACCCCAGTCCTACCACAGTCTTCACCCCCAGATCTACCGACACCCCACCACCTGGCAGATCATCTGTTCAATGCCCTAGGGTGGGGGAGTCAGTTTGGATTTGTCCCCTCCTCCCACAATACCTTTTACAACCTTCTTACTGGAGCTAAATCTTCCCCTTTTATGACACTGTTCAGACTCCCCGCATCTTCCTGAGGCAAGTGAGTTAACTGACTATAAAAGTCCAGTTTCTACCCTTGCCGAACTAGGCTGGTATTATGGAGTTACATTTTGGCTGGACTAACGAGTCTATGCATAGTCCAATCAAAATCACGCACCGAAATCGAAATCCGGTTCGTCATGCAGATTTCGGTCGACTGCAGGATTTGCAAAGCATGTGCACCGCTAACTCGTTGTCAACAGATATTTTCTAAATCTTTTCCTGTTTTTAATCAAGGTGCTCACGTGATTTGATGCACTTCGCGTTGTAAGACTCGTTTTATCACAATATAGACCTTCATTATCGATCAGACCGTCTTGACTGGGCGTCACCGTTTTGTTTGAAGCAAATGCAAGTGATACGAAAGGTTGAATCTGATTGGTCAATAGGAGAGGCATAGAAAGGACATAACTCGTAATAACCACTGGTGGCGCTACGATCGAGCCCAGGAATTCCAGTCTAGTTCGGCAAGGGTGGAAACTGGACTTTTAAAGTCAGTTAACTCTCTGGCCTCGGGAAGATGGACTCCCCGTAACCCAACCATAACTTCCTGAACAGGGTTTTCTACTGTTCAGACAACATACGCTAGACAATGAGGCCTGCAATAACTGAATAAGTTCCTTTTACCCTCAGGTCATACCCTGTTTAGAGATCCATCACCCCACACATCAAGCCCCACCCCAAACCCACCCCCAAGCTGTTTACGCTCATCAGAGTTCACAATATCCCCTGGGGTTTTATCAGTGAGATAACACTGATAGGGTGGATAAAATCGTTATGTGTAACACTGAGTGGATATAATCGTTATGTGTATCTTTGAATCATAACCTTGCCTTACATTTAATATAGATCAATGATCACATCCTCGATAATTCCATGGTTACTTCATGTCATTATCAACCACAAGTATTCATTTCTCTCACTGATATCATATTTCAGTTATAGTTTCGGAAATTTTATGTTATGAACAATTGAAATTTTTAAATCCTTATTATGCTGTCTTGTTCATATATAATTTGAATATTGTACATTTATTTATGTTTTAAGCCTATTTTCAAGTCTAGTAATGAATCTCCATCTCTTTAACCTTTTGAAATGGATTAAAGTCAAATATTAATTCTAGGCTATTAAGGGCAAGGCAGGAAAACCCATTATTACCTCGTTGTAAGCACAACAATTTTTAATAGGCTCAGTTAACACACTGACATAAGGATTTGAAGTAAACATCCCCTTGTAGCGTTATAGCGAGGAGTAGGCGTAGACTGCACCGAATACAACACAGCACTGTGTGGCCATGTTTTCCTGCTATAGAAGGCCTCACCCACTCAGATGTAAACACAGCTATCGACCAATCATCTGCCCTACTTCATCAGGCACGACTCTGATGTAATGTGAATATGATCGCCTTCCGTGCCGCTCCCAACCACTCCCACAATTCCCCTCTCCAAGCAAGCATGCCAGCACTGTAGCCTGACTCACTGGTTCACCCCCCTAAGCTATTGAGGACAACATACAGCCAAAGGCAGGCACGTCCCACTAGTATAGCTCTACCTCAGTTCGTAACTGGGCCTCACTGTCTTCACTAGCCTTTCTGAATACTAAAACTTGGATTTGTGTGTAAAAGCTGTACTGGAATACCTTGTGGAAAGAGATTATTCAGAGATGCTTTTTGTGAGTATATTGCCAAACATAGCTTTTCTTTGGAATATGGTAGCACTGTTTAAGTTTCCTTGATGAAAATCTTTGCAAGGGAGTGGCCTTATATCGTTTGTTATGGCAAGATTTTATGTATTCAGTGCCTATTTGAACAGATGTTACGTTCGCTACCACCTCTGTAAAGTTAACGGTTGTCAATTAGAACGCATGTACTGTCTAGTTGGTAAAGATTTTGAAAAGCTGAGGGTCCCCATGTTTGAGGGCCAACTTCATGTCAACACTTTCCATTATTGTCAAGCTCTCGAGAACGTTGGAGTGGATACATACATTCTATGAAGCATTTATCATAATATTTCTTCAACAAATAAAATAATTTCATTATTTTTTTATATTCTTTTTGTAAATTATACTGAGTGGGTGTGGATGAAGCACAGCTTTATCACATTTGATTTATTAATGAGAGAAATGGGTGTGTCTCGTTAGTTATTTATTTTTATCAAGTACGAAACAGCTATTTTAGACTGATGTATCTATTTACAATTACCTTAAACTTTAATATTATGAACTAAAAATATTTCGCAATAAATGAAAACGTATGACATTTCAAAAGTATATTCATGTTTCTACAGTTTTTGTTCGTATTGAAATAATGTTGTTTTTTGTGTGTCAATTTGATTAATTATTTTTGGAATTGATTTTGGAATTATTACTGGTGGCAGATGTTTAAAATGAAAAATGATAAAACATAAAGCTTTCTGTAATATATGTAACAGATGACTTTCCAAAAAGGTCATTTTAATATGGTGTGGTAGTTTATGATACTAGTAAAATATAACAATAAATTTATTATAAACTCTATTTTCTGCAACATAATTGTGTTTACAGAAGGCCAGAGAATAAGAAATGAACTTGATATGACATCAAACTTGACATAGTATGAATTCATGTGCTTAAATACTTGGATTTTTCTTAGGCTGTTAATGAGAAATATGTCAATTATTTAAAACCTTGATATATCATATGAACTAAGTGGCTAGAAGCTAGTTAAAAGCCTGAGCCTAGAAAAATATGTTTGGTCATGTACGCTCAGCAAAGAAAGTCCATATAAATGACTAAAACATACTGAAAATGACGCCAAGAGACAGTGTGTCAGTCTTGTAGCAAGAGGACCCTGTATAAGTACACTGTTAAGCATATTATATAATTGTTTTATTGTTGAAATGGCTGAGAAAGGATTTCAGGATAAATTGTTTCAAGTGTGCTGTATGTATGTGGCAGAGATAAGTGTCCTTGTATATGACCGCTCATAAAGAGATAAATCAGTTTAGAAACACCCCCACCCCACCCCCACCCAGATAGAAGAACTCAACAACCCACTCACAGTAAGCACTGACCTCCAAAACCTCTTCTCCTTGCAACTCCCCCCTCCTCCACACACAGACACACACACACACACACACACACACACACACAAGGGGGACCACAGTTATGTGTGTAGTCAGTTTTATTGTCTACTGATTCCTTCCTATTCAAATCGACTGTCCATACTCTAGATTTATAGATTCTACTGCAAGGGACAATAACCAGATGTGTCTGTTTGATGGTTAACACAGCAATCAACAATATTCCAGCTATATGACGGTGGTCTGTAAATAATTAAGTCCTGACCAGACAATCCAGCGATTGATATCATGACATCACTCCGTGTATTTGGGAAACGATGACATTCAACCAGCCATGTCTCAGAGTATGACCATCCGATATCCTTTATGACAAGTATAGGTTGCTGGGGGCCTGTTTTCTTACCAGAATCACCGTCAGTGGATGCCAAAGATCTGGGTTTGTTTCCCGCATGAGTACAATGTGTGTAGCCCATATCTGGTGTGATATGGCTGGAATACTGCTGAAAGTAGTATAAAGCATAACCTACTTGCTTCCTTGTGATGCATCAAACTGTTTACACATTTACTGATAGCAACTATCAGAGTCAAGTGATCTGTCAGTTTGACCCTTTTTAAACCAAGTTATTGATTGTTTTTTTCCTCATTTTCAGCATTCCCTTGATACAATGACGGAAGACAGCCGTCCCACCGCCCACACCCATCCAGACAATCACCCCGACATTCACTGCGACATGGATGGTTCCAGTGGCACCAGCACCCCCCAGTCCCTTTCCCCGGGGTTGGAGGACCCCGCCTACCCAATAGACAGTATTCCTGAGGGAGTGTACGCCCCCACGCCCATCGAGGCCGATTCCAGTATTAACACAGTCAACTTAAACAAAAGTTTACATCGACCATCTCATCAAAATGATGCAAGATACAACCTTATTAAGCTAAGTCAGATCAAATCTGCGTTTGCAAACCGCAGTCCGAATCACTCCAATAGTGGAACTGTGGGCCAGATGTTTGCGTTGAAGAAACGCATCAAGACGGAAGCAGTGAATGGGGACTACGAGGTGGCTTTTAACTGCTCAAATTCAAATGGTGCTGATGATGTAGTGATAAAACAGGAGCCGATCGATGAGGATGATGAGGAAGATGATGATGAAATGGACGATGAAATGGATCACGTCCATATCCCGGTTACTAATGGTCCAGTGAAGAGAAATAAAGACGGAAAGGTTGGTACTTTATGTCACTTTTATACAGATTGTAGTTTATTTCAGGACTAGACAGTGTCTGTCAGGACTGTTGCTATTGTGCTTCCATGTTGTGTGGTGACACTAAGGTAAATGAAAATGAGATGGCTTTCAAATGCATTTTTATTAAGCCAGATTATTTCTTGGTCAGTTTGATGATGATAACAACAACGACGACGACAACGACGACGATGATGATGATAATTATAGGCCATTCTTATTGCACATATTTCCACCCACAAAGGGGCATGCTTAAAGAGCTGCTACCACGGTCACAGGATCAGTGTGCACTCAACAATCATTCTCAGCTCCCCGGGGAGTATACAACCCAAGCTGCCTGTTAGGCGCTGGAAGGTTAACAACTATATTGCCATCTCATCCTATCGGGTAAAATATAGAAAAAGATTAGATTTGTTACTCAAGGGTTGATTTGAAGTTGGTTTCAGAAACTGACTATAAATCAAGCAAAACATTTATTTTTTTTGTAACTTTTGGGATAAGATGACAACAAGATTGACCTTGCCTGACATTAAGTCAGGCATGAAAAGAGAGCATTCAGCCTTATACCCAAAACTTTATTTGTAGATTGTGAGTAGACTGCAGCACCTCATTCATACTTGTCATAACATGCAACAGAAATGGGGAACAAGTGTCACCAGTAGTTATTGGTCAGTGAGACTGGCTCAACAATGAGCAACCATCTTGGAAAATCAATTTTCACTGGTGACCTGATGTTATTGTGTCCCCAAGGCCCCAAGGTCATTCCTGGGAAAATCATGGCTGGACATATTTGAATGCGTTATAACGTGTTACATATCCTAATACTATCCTTGGAGAAAACTGAGGGTATACATTTGTCCGTAACCTGGTTGTGTTAATGTGTCATCATACCCCAGAAATCTTTCACTGGGAAAATCTAGGACAGACAAATATGTCAGTGACCATAGTGTCCCAGCTGTGGCTTTTTTAATGTGTGATTGTAGCCTAGAAAATCTTCACTGGGAAAATCCAGGACAGATAAATATGTCAGCGACCTGGTTATGTCAGGGGGTCCAGCTGTTGCTGGGGGCACGAGGCACGAGGCATGGGGCACGGTGCACACTCGGGGCACGGGTGGCCCAGTCGTCCAAGGCGTCGCGATTCACTGTGCAGAGTTGCGTCCCTTGGGCACGCCAGAAACCTATGGTTGTGGGTTCGAATCCTGGTTTGCCCCAATTATGTTTCTAGGTTTGTCAGCACCATACCCGTGCTCGTGGGTTTCACCGCAGTTGTAAATGTCTGAGACCTGCATCACTTCGGGCTTTCCTCCCACATTAAGCTGACCCGCCGTGATATAACTGGAATAATGTTAAAAGCGGCGTTAAACCCAACTCACTCACTCACCCACTCCAGCTGTTACTTTGTTGTTTAATATAGCATCATACCCAGGTGTGCAATGGAATAGCCTTCCGTTAAGGCTTTCACTCATCACACTGAACACCCCTGACCCAATTACATTAATACAACCTCTTTACTTGTTGCCTTAGTCCTCTGTTGGTCGGGTTACAAGTGGCACAGTTGTCTAAGGCGCTGCAACTGCAAGTTGCAGTGCAGAGTTGTATATCTTAAGTGTGCCAAAAATCTTAATCGTAAGTTTGAATCCCAGTTCACCCTGATTATGTTTCTAGGTTTGTCTGCACCCATTCTCATGGATTTCACAATGGTGGTAAAAGATGAGCATCACTTTGGGCTTGCTTCCATATCGAGCACCCGTGCAGATCCGGGGGAGGATAGGTCTTCAGCAACCCATGCTTGTCGTAAGACGCGATTAACAGGATCAGGTGGTCAGGCTCGCTGACTTGGTTGATGCATGTCATCGATCCCAATTGCGTGGATTGATGCTTGTGATATCAACCACTGGATTGTCTGGTTCAGACTCGATTATTTACAGACCGCCGTCATATAGCTGGAATATAGCTGAGTGCGGCGTTCAACAACAAACCAACCAACCAAAAATATCGAGCTGACACTTCATGGTATAATTGAAATACTGTTTAAAGCGTCTTTAAACTTAACTCACTCACTCGGTCCCTGTTATTCCCCACCTTCAGATCTTAGTGGCCTATTCTTGTTAGTCCCTCATAATACCTACGAATACAATACCTCTCTTAAATCATTGCCAGAAGTACAGGAATTCTGTCATTGAACGCTAAAAATCTTAAGATTTTCAACAGAAGTCTTCTTCACAGTCAACTATCCACAACTAAGTTCAGACACCGAGTGAGTGAGTACGTTTTTGCGCACGCTTTTAGCTGTATTCCAGCCTTATCACCATGGGGAACACCATAAATGGGCTTCACACATTGTACCCATGTGGGGAATCCAACCCAGGTATTCGGTGTGACAAGCGAACGCTTTAACCACTACAGTAGCCCACCGCCTAGTCCTGCTCCATGACCATGGAATATATTTATTTTATAAGAAAAAAAAAATATCTAGAAATGAATACAAAAGCAAGTCTAGCCAGCTCAAGCTAGCTTTTAGAGTCAAGAAGGATATTGTGTAATATAAGATTTCAGTGACTAAATGTTAGTCTACCCACCACCCCCTTGATACACTAATAGTATCTCCCTTCTCCTTCTTATTAGTCTCTCATATTTCTGTCATATTGCTAAGAGAAAGAGTAAAACAATTCTCACTCATACTAAACCTGTTGGTGCTCCAGCAACCTTTGCTGGTCGTAGATGGTGGCCTGGATTGGTTGGCTGGCTCCGTGGCTTGCTTGATGGGGTGACAGCGTACAGCCACAGCATGGATCTTAATGCGCATAATATTAATCACTGGATTGTTTGGTCCAGACTGGAATATTTACAGCTGGAATATTGCAGATAGTGAAGTTAATCAACAAACAAACACCATTCCCCACATGGGTACTATGTGTGAAGCCCATTTCTGGTGTCCCCCGCTTGATATTGCTGGAATATTGCTAAAAGTGTCGTAAAACCATACTCACTCACTCCATGTGCTATGGATCGACATGGGTTTCTTGCTCCAGGCTCAGAACCATGAAGACATGACATAGTGCTGGAGTTAAACCTATTGCATCATACACTGATTTAATAGCAAGTTGTCAACCACTGATTGTGTGACTATGTGTAGTCAGGAGACAGCTGATATTCAGATGCATGTATAGTGTGCAGCTCATTCAAGCACCTGCTTGTGAAAAAACTGACTTGAAATCAATAAATGTGACTCAAGCTGGCAAAATATAGGTGAAATAAGTAGATCTGTTTGAGAGTAGGGTTGCATCAGAGATGAGGTAGACAATGAAACGGGTTGAGCAAGTCAAAGACCTTGTGAAATGATGAAAACTTTGACATATTAGATTCCCAACATCAACTGAAACAAAAAAACCGATATATTATCAGAACTATTAGTTAATGGTAATTTTTTAATCCTCAATAATCGTGAAATGCTAGATATAAAAGAAACTTTGCATATTAGTCCCCATGCATTGTAAGTAGAATCATTTTCATTTTTGAGAGAGAAAAAAATATCCACTTGTCACAACTGTTGACCAGAAAATGGGTTTTTCATGTGCAATCAGACTGTAACAATTGCAAGCGTCCTTCACATACTTGCTGGCTGGGGCTAGTCCCGGAGGCTTGGCCGTTCGGGGACTTCACATCATTTGATGTGTCACCTGATGATGCTGGGAACCCTAACGAGGACGTGATGAGATGGCTCGTTGTCAGTTGTCTCCAATTAGTCGAGGAACCAGTTCATCAAATACCAGCCTCATTCCAATAATGAAAAAAATGACATCATCAACGATTTTGTCATAAAATGTTTGCCTTTTATTTTCCGTGTTATTTATCATGTTCTGCGTATTTGATCAAGTTTACCCCCGTGAAATGAGTTGCTGTTGTAAGCTTGATATGTTACAAGTACAGTTTGTAATATTGATCAAGGTTTTTGTGTAGTTTACGGTAACACATTTCCTCCGGGAGTCGGTTTCGCCCTGACATTCGTCTCAAGTGTTTGATCCTAGTACTTACATTTCCCAGTAGGCGATGTGTCAGTGTGTCGTCCACCGCTAACTGTGGTCGCCACGGCATCAACAGCGCTGTGCCAACAACGACACGGGCTGACGAACGACAAGAGGCCTTGTTGCCTGCGGCTACTTCACACATGCAGTGTTTATCTCCAGGGGACGGAGCTGGACTCGGTCGTCACACTTTCCTGTATTTGTTTTTTGTCACAGAGGAGTTCCAAAGACCACTGCCCAGTTCAAACAGTTCACTGACATGTTTTTGTATAAAAATGACCACACCTCGATGAGAAATGTTTGAGTGAGGATTTCTTTAAACACTGGTGGGTTAGAGAAAATGTGATATGTCGGGTTAGCGCCTGCATAGTAATATATGACTCAGAAACAAGGCATTAGCATCTTATATATACCAGAATATAATGGCCATGTTGATTTCATTAAGATGGTGTTTTTTAACCGTTGGGTGGAAAATGGCTTTAATAGAATTCCTTGTCAGGAGTTTTGCAAAATTATCAGGTCTAGGCTGTAATATACCTATCAATCAAGTAAATGTTGGATATATAACATAAGACCACATCTTCAAGCTCATCCGTTCCCTAAGATTAGTGGGTTATCACATATGGCATTAATGAACTGGTAGGCCACGTTTGACATCTATGAAAACGTTACAAAATTCTCATACCATATATATCCCAATAAACTGCCTCAAATATAAACCAGGTTTAGATCTTGTGCACACAGCTAAGCTATTCTGAGTGAGACGACTCTGTCTGCGGCCTGATGCCTAGGTCTAGTGAGTCAGTTCGTGCCCTGGGGGATCTGGTTGAAGTAGGTCCCGAGCAACCTGTGCTGGTTGTAAGAGCTGAGCGAATAGATGAGATTGTCAGGCTCGGTGAAAGGTGAATTGTGTGTCATCTTACCCTGACGGTGTGGGTCATTGCATGTAATATCACTGACGGTATTGTCTGTTCCAGACAAGATTATCAAAGAAAACAAAATACAGGCTCGCTGTATGTATACAGACAGACAGACAGACAGATGCACACGGACATACACACACAGGTACACAAACACGCGCACGCACGCGCACACGCACACACGCACCCACGCACCCACGCACGCACCCACGCACGCGCACACACTCACACACACACACGTACGCACGCACGCACGCACGCACGCACGCACACACACACACATACACTGAAGGAAACTGTAACTTGTTAACTACCACTATTATTTCCGTCATCCTAATTTTAGCTATTGTTAAAATAAAATCAGTTTCACAACTAAATATATCATTAATCCTATTCTTGTTGTTTTAATGTTATTCTCAGGAATCAGGACTACACAAGTTAAGTGGTTGGTTCGTAGTTTCAGGTTGAGGAAATAGCCTGGGAGTTTTCAGTTTCATTCATTGTACATGTCATGTTGCTTGTAGTGACAGTCCTCCATGGGATAGCATGGCGGTAACATTAGGCCGGTGGAATTAAATCACTAGTTTATCAACCACACCCACCCACCTGTTACACCTCCCACCAATCTCATCTCAGTTTGTAATTTGGCTGTGTCTTGCACACATTTCTAAGATTCATTTTAAAAAATGTGTGCAAGCAAGACCAATTTGATAATTGTTTGATAGAAGAAATGAAAACTAAATAGCACATAAATACCTCCTTTCTTGTTCAAACATCAAGATAATCTAATTATTAATTTATTCTCATGATTAAATAATCATGTTAATTCATTTTTGTTGTTAATTGTTAAGGAATACTTGATTTTTTAAAGTTATTAATTGGCTGCAATCGGCGAAAAGGCGATTGTCCTGTTTGAATTGATAAAAATAAAGGTTAGACTCTTGGTTGTTCCTCTTCATTTAGAAACACTCATCAAAAGGACTTAGGGTGAATGAGTTTAGTCATGCCCTTGTCATGCCAAAATACTAGTCTTTCTCCCGGTCCCTAGAAAATGAATTAAAAAATGAATCCAACTCAAGCCTAGAAACATTTAGCAAACCTGAAATTAAGCATTGTTCTGGGTTCTATTTGGATGCTACATTTAAAGTGTAGGTATATATTTTTAAATAAGATGACTTTGTTTCTTGAACTAAATGTTATGAAAATTTGTTTCAGCACCTCAGTAAAATAGTTGTCCATCCTTTTTATGAACTTCCAAGCTGTAGTATATATTGGTACTCGCCACTAGTAGTTGTTCAGTTAGATTTGAGGGTTGTGGGACAGCTAGAACCAGCTTCAACTCCTGTGTGGTTACACAATGTAAAGCCGCTTCCTTGTACCCCCAGCAGTGGGTATTATATTGCTAATTTAGCATTAAACCATTCTCACTCACTCCCTCACCGCCGCGTAATGGACAACCAGGGCCTATACCTGTTACAATATTTACAAAGATCAGCTATATTACCCCTGCATGGCTCGATCTCCGAGTCATGCATGATTGGACTGACAGGTCGCAAGAAGTCAAACCAGCCCTCTCTGGTGTTTGATAAGCGTTTGACAACAATTTGACACCTTCACCAATTCCCTGTCTGATGTTTAACGGTCATAGACGATAACATCCTGGGAAACTTTTTACAATTTCATCGAGTCAAGCATCCTGTACGCTCACTTCCTTCAATTGGGGCGCGCTCTGTTGACATGATGGCTAGGACAACACCACCCGTCCTCTGATTAGACGCTTGAAATTTGTCTTTGCAACGATACCCATTTTCGGACTGCTTGATTGGTCGGGCTCTCTGAAAAGTGTGTGGAAGTTTGCCGAGGTTTTCGCTTAATAGCAGCCAAGCCTCTCCCCTTGTAAATTTGGATACCATCCACGCTTGCACCGTTGTAGTGTATGTATAAGGTGTGGCTACCTTTCCACCGCCTATTCACAGGGCGAGAGGGAAGTGTGAGGATGCACATGTCTAATGCAACAGCCGCCGATTTTGCCTGGTTATACTGGGAACAACAGACAAAAGTAGGTTTTGGTGATTTTTTTTTTTTTTCAAAATGGTTATACTGCAACTGAATATTTTTGATATATAATTAATGAATTATGTTTGAACTTGTTTGATATTTGATAAAGGTAAAGTGTGAAATGACGTGCTAGAAATGTGGTAGAGTGTTACTTTTACTGTAATAGCTTCAGTATTATATGGTGATTATGTAATAAAATATCACTCATATAGTATGGATGAACAGGATGGACAAAATCTTAACCTCGCCCTAGATGTCTAATTTGTGGTATTAAATAGGATAATAAAAAATAACTGAAATATTAACTTAAATTCCCTTGGAATAGGAATTGCATCACAGTAATGGGTTGTCAGCAGGACTCAGAGTTTGATAGTGCTTATGAAGTTTTATGAAAACTCAAGCAGAAAAAACCCATATTTACAGCACAGCAGGAGCTGTAAGTCTGCAGGCTACTCGCTGGCCACCGACCCGTGAAGTGTATCACGCTCCACTTGTGCTGTCGTCACTTTCCTGTCAAATGACTAACTCGTCCTGGAGTGACTTACTCAATACAATATTTCATGTATATGCTGCCCACACCGACATGGTGATACCTCGGTGTGCTTGCTGCCAGACACTGTCCATGGCCGATGTGAGTTGACATTGTCCCCTGTGGTGTGACTATCACAATCCCAACTTACTTTCTACAATATATCATGTAAATATAAAGCTCACGGGAGGGTTGTCCTCCGGCATGGTTAGCCGATGTGAGTGTACATGGTGTATAAATATGATGATTATTTCTGAGACGACCTCGTCTCTCCTGAGTGTTGTGTCTGTGACTGAAGTTGGGACATTTGTTACTTGTGCATGAACTAACTTTAGTTATTTTCTTGCAGCCACAAACCGAACCTGTCGACCTGTCTGTCAAGAGAACGCTGGGCCTACCAGAGTTTGTGGCAGATATGCATGTTCATCAAGGCCTGGATTTACGTGTTGGAAGAAAAGGTGGGATATCTGTACATCTGTGAAACTAAGGTCGATGTTAATTATCTGTATATGAACAAACTGTAGGTCTGTGTAATGTGGCGTTAGGTTATAATGATGCCATGTATCTGATAACCAACTAGCTGTGACTAGCCTGTGAGACTGTTTATATCTGTGGGAATAGGTCATAAAGTGGATATATCTCTGTATAGCAAATCGTTGTAGGTCATAAAGTGGATATATCTCTGTATAGCAAATAGCTGTAGGTCATAAAGTGGATATATCACTGTATAGCAAATCGTTGTAGGTCATAAAGTGGATATATCTCTATAGCAAATAGTTGTAGGTCATAAAGTATATATATATCTCTGTATAGCAAATCATTGTAGGTCATAAAATGGATATATCTCTCTATAGCAAATAGTTGTTGTTCTATAAGTGGATATAATTCTGTATGGGAACTTGCAGTGTTTTCAAAGAGTGTATATATGTCGTTATGGCAACTGGCTGTAGGTCTTAAAAGTGGATATATCTGTATAAAAAGTAACTGAAGCTGACAAAGTAGACATATATATCTGTATATATATAGGAGCTAGCTGTAGTATTAAAGAGTGGCTATTTATCTGTATAGGAACTAGCTGTAGGTAAGAAAGTGGAAATATATGTGACAACTAGACATATTTAGTTATTAATAGTTATAATTTATTCATGATTGTTAACAATACTAAACAAAGTGGATTGAAAATCACCAAACGTCCTGTGAAATTTTGTATGGTAACAGGTATCTTCTGATTACAAACATACAGTTTCTGATTTCTTGAAGGACATTTTTGTTGTGAGATTAGTGAGACTTTGTGTGAAGTAAAGAATCGTTTGCTATTACTGCATAACAGTAACACTTTAACACATTAGGGTAGACACTCATCATCTACTCACGTTTAATGAACAGTTGTTAACATGTTTTCGTTCAAAAATCAAAAAGAAGGCAGAATCCTGGTAGTTTTTTCCTTAAAACTGTCCCGTGTGTGGTTGTTGAAAATTGATATTGGAAACAAGGCAGTAGAACAGTGGGGAACTTGACCGTGATGCAGGTTATAGGAGTGGCTAGTGTTTATGGCCCGAGCTTGTTAACTTCCTTGCTGGGCCACACCTACTCCATTCACCCCGTCCCGTCACTATTGATGCCAACAAGCCCTTCACACTGTTTGGTGATGAGGAACTTAAAATTACTGCTATGTCCCATCCCAGAATTATTCCATATCGGTGATGCCTTTTCATGACATAGATTGGTTGTTTTTTTTAACATTTTAGGAGTAGTTTTGAAATGTTGATTTGGTGACTGGATAATCAGATGCTGATTTCTGGTTTTCTGCTAAAGAAGCAGTTAACGTTGATGGTTACCGTATTACCTCCTTTTAGCATGTTTAGGGAAGCTAGAACTTGAAATAGATATTGTCCACCTTGGTACCCCTTATACAACTGGGTGGGCTGTTGAGGAGCCTAGTGGTTAAAGTGTTTGCTCGTCATGCCGAAAACCCGGGTTCGATTCCTGACATGGGTACAATTTGTGAAGCCCATTTCTGGTGCCCCCTGCCGTGATATTGCTGGAATATTGCTAAAAGCGGCATAAAGCCATACTCACTCACTCACTATACAACTGGGTAGCTGGTATGTAGGAAGAGTGTGTGGTACTATACAAGTGGGCAGGTGGGTAGCCTAGTGGTTAAAGCATCCTTCATGGCTAATGCCTGGTTGGATTTCCCCACAAAGAATAATTGCTATAATTGCTGTAATTGCTGTAATAAGTGCCCTGGGTGCTTTGAAAGTCACAAAGGGGGCACTTATGCAAAACTTGGACGAGGAGGAGTTAAATGTGTTCCCGAGATCATGCGGTAGTGAACAAACCTAGTTCAACGGTGATGAAACAGATTTATTTTAATAAAAGTTAATGGGCGGTGATGTACCCATTCTAGCTTGTCCACATTGTTTTGTATAAATAATCTGCATTAGACACAGGAAAATACAGATTGTCAAGGACAATTTTGGTCTTCAAAAGAGGCACTTTTAAGGATTACATACAGATTGGTCTGGGAGTTATTGGGGTGTGGCTAGTACAGAATGTGTGGAGGATCATGTCTTCCATACCTGGACTATATGATGCCTCATTGAATAAAAATATAATATCAGATGTATGTGATCAATGATAGGGAGTAGGTGGTTGACTTGTATGCTCTTCATGATTGTATGTCTTCATACTCCTGCATATTCGTTGTTGCTCATGTTATCAACCACTGGTTTTAACTGCCTGGCCTAGATTATTTACAGGCCACCATGATGTAGCATGATATCAATGATAGCAGCCTCATGCAACATGCTCACTCACTCATGAATGAATTAGGGGCGGTCGGGTCGCCTAATGGTTAAAGCGTTCGCTCGTCACGCCGAAGACCCAGGTTCGATTCCCGACATGGGTACAATGTGTGAAGCCCATTTCTGGTGTCCCCCGCCGTGATATTGCTGGAATATTGCTAAAAGCGGCGTAAAATCAAACTCACTCACTCACTCACTCACTCATGAATGAATGAATGAATGAATGAATGAATGAACAACAAACGAACAAATAAACGAACCAACGAACGAACCAACGAACAGGGATCTAGAACTAGGTTCAGGCTTGTTCAGCATGTGACTGCATGTTCACAGTGGAGGGTCTTGTTGAAATAAGTTGACAACAATTGCCTGACATATTTACTCGAATTGGGACTAAGATTTTCAACATGTCCAAGCAAAACATCTTTATTTTGGGCAGTGTAAACACCTCCAACTGTTTGTCCTCCTGGAAAGACTGTTTTGATTTGATTTTTGAAACACAAACAAAAACTTTTCTTTTCCCTTAATTGAAATTTTTGTGAGGTATAAATTGACTTCCCTTGATTATTTTTTTTCATATTTTTTCATGATGATTGATTTTTAGAGAATTGTGAAAGGCAGGTTGTTGTGGCAAGACAGTGTAATTTGGTTTCATTTTATTTAAGTTTATTTAAGTTTATGTGGCCCATAGTCTAGTTTCAAAAGCTTTGTCATAATAATCTGACATTGTCACATATCTGAAATACTGTTCAACGTGGCATTAAACTAGATACACTCACGAGAATCACTACTGACCACTACTGAGGTATGTTATTAAAGTTTCAAAGATATTATTAAATTTATGTCGTAAATGCAAATTGTTTTTTATGTAAAACTGCTAAATTTAAAAATATATTTTCATTGGATATTAAAATGACTACATAGAATTCACATTAATAAATTAGAATTTTTTTTTTATATAGCCACAATGTTTTCCTAGTACAGTCACTGGTTGGAAGTTATGATCTTATTTGGTAGACAGGGCACTAGCAATTATTATCAATTCGAAACTCAAACAGAAGTTAAGTGGTGAAATTCAAGGAAAACCTTTCCTTTTCATCACTTCATATAGGCATGACACACAGAGGTTTGTTTCATACAGTTAGTCATCTCAGGCACTGCCGTTCGCTGTGCAGAGTTGTCGCCCTTGGGCACACCAGAATCCTCATTGTGGGTTTGAATCCTGGCTCCACCCTGATTATGTTTATAGGTTTGCCACAGTATTCCTGTGCTTGTGGGTTTCACCAAAGTTTCCTCCCACGTTAAGCTGACATGTCGTGAAATAACTGGAATACTGTTCAAAGCGGTGTTAAACCCAACTCACTCACTCACTTTGATATATTTGTCCCCATATTTTGCCGTACATCAATACATCCTTCATCATAGGTGTTATCAGGCAGCTGTTTTCTGTGGTAAACTTGCCAAAAAAATGGATGGTGAAACATGGAAAATGAAATTCGCAAGACCTGAGCCCTGTTTCACAATGATCTTAATGTTGTCATAACAAACTTAGTTAGAGAACTGCCTCCTTGGTCCCGTGGATAGAGAATCTGCCTGGAGGGTGGGTGATCGGTGGTTTGATCCCTGGCTTCATGATGGCTGTGTCAGGTGGGATGATATGTGTCATATACTAGGCTGTGTCAACTGGGATGATATATTTCATATACCTGGCTGTGTTGGCTTGGAGATATATATATCATATACCTGGCTGTGTTGGCTGGGAGATATATATCATATACCTGGCTGTGTCAACTGGAATATATATGTCATATACCCAACTGTGTCGGCTGGGAGACAAATGTCATATACCTGACTGTTTGTTGGAAGATCATATACCTGACTGTGTTAGCTGGGAGATATATGTCATATAGCTGACTGTGTTGGCTGGGAGATATATGTCATATACCTGACTGTGTTGGCTTGGAGATATATGTCATATACCTGACTGTGATGGCTGGGAGATATATGTCATATACCTGACTGTGATGGCTGGGAGATATATGTCATATACCTGACTGTGTTGGCTGGGAGATATATGTCATATAGCTGACTGTGTTGGCTGGGAGATATATGTCATATACCTGACTGTGATGGCTGGGAGATATATGTCATATAGCTGACTGTGTTGGCTGGGAGATATATGTCATATACCTGACTGTGATGGCTGGGAGATATATGTCATATACCTGACTGTGTTGGCTGGGAGATATATGTCATATACCTTACTGTGTTGGCTGGGAGATATATGTCATATACCTGACTGTGTTGGCTGGGAGATATATGTCATATAGCTGACTGTGTTGGCTGGGAGATATATGTCATATACCTGACTGTGTTGGCTGGGAGATATATGTCATATACCTGACTGTGATGGCTGGGAGATACATGTCATATACCTGACTGTGTTGGCTGGGAGATATATGTCATATACCTGACTGTGGTGAAAATGTTTTCCCCCACAAAGTGATAAGGTTGAAAGTGTCAGATAACTATCCTTAACATAACATAAGTCAGACGTCACATGCAAGTTTAAGTTATATGTTTTACCAAGAACATTACGGATTCTAACAGATCTTATGTATCTGTATCCAGTCATGGCATATTAAAGTAACAATAGCATAATTGAGTTTGAAAGTAAGTACCTATAGATGAAAAGGGTCATTGTGGTTGAACTAATACAGCCGTGGGACTGAATAAATGACTGCTCAAATTGGTTGCATACAAAATGTGGAACTACTTTTATATGTGGGTTTCAAACAGTTCTCCAGGATTTCCCCACTCCTTGTCATGGTTAAGTGATCATGACTCTACTCTGCATTTCAAATATCCCAAGATCTGAACAAAAGATCGAGATGGAACATATACACTGTATTTATTGTTAGGACTATTCCCTTTGGAAATTTGCAGTTGACAAATGTGCATTAGTTCATCTGAAGATATTTATGATAGAGATGTGATAAAAGACCCTTATATTATTTGAAATAGAAGGGAAGTGTGTCCCTTGTGCATGTATATAACCATTTATTACATACAGTGTAGGGAAATACGAGGATGTATGGAAAGATATAATAACAGTGTGGTTTGAATGTCCTCTTTATTGTATATTTCGCATGGTAAGTGGCAAGGGGGTACTTAGAGAGTTGACAGCATTGTCAAACGGGGCCTGCTAAGTCTTGTGTGATATTTTAATGACGATTTGGAAAGAATACGGAGTGCTTACTTTTGAGGAATATACAGAACAGTGTGAAAGTGCACTTCAGTCAATCATACTGTCATTATGTTAAATGCTTTATTTTGGGGCACGGGTGGCCCTGTCGTCTAAGGAACCACGATTAGCTGTGCAGATTACGTCACTTGGCCACGCCAGAAACCTATGATTGTGGGTTCGAATCCCGGTTCGCCCCGATTATGTTTCTATGTTTGTCAGCACCATACCGGTGCTCGTGGGTTTCACCGAAGTGGTAAACGTCTGAGACCTGCATCACCTCAGGCTTTCCTACCACATTAAGCTGACACGCCGTGATATAACTGGAATACTGTTAAAAATGGCGTTAACCCAACTCACTCACTCACTCATGCTATATTTCTCGGGCCACTGTTTGGATGCATTTATTAGGCTTTTATTGTGTGTAATATATTCAATTTCACAAATGTGGAAAAGAATTATAATTTGAAATCGTAATTTGTATCTTTTCTTTTTCTTGCCCAGTCTGTTTTTGTTCATGTCATAAGGAAAATATATTTGTAAAAGACAAAAAAAACCTATCTCTTTGATTTTTCATGTAAAAAGACTTTACTTCCTGTTGTTTTTGTATGTTTGTACGGGTTTTTTTAAATCATGTTAATTGCGTTCTCAATTTTATTTTGATCACCAAACCTTAGTGGATTGACAGAAAACTGCAAACCAGTTGAAATAATAAGGGCCATAGCTGATGCATGCAGGCTTGAAGCCAGTCTGTCCTGGATGTGAGAGGGTCATTTTGCTGTATTCTGAATGGAGAGTGCTTATGACAGTTGACTGTTTATTAGGTTGAATATGGTACAAAATGGTTGTAAGATGTTTGCGAAGCATTTCCAGTGTATGGAACCAAGTCTTTTGTGTAACTGGGATTAAATTGTCTTGCAGATGAAGATCACCCGAATGTCTCTGTCGAATCTGTCAATAAAATCGGCTCAGCAGCTCTTCTGTCTCTGAGGAGGATAAAAGAGGCATCCGAGTAAGTGACAAATCTGTCGTTCTTCAGATCAGTATAGTTAGTGGATGTGCAAGAGGAAATGAAAAGATAGTCCAGCCAAGCTTGTATATATTTAGGTAGTTTTAACTCTGAAAAGTTGACTTTTACCACATCTGTCAGACAGGGATTTTACGATACACAAGGCCTGTTGCAATACGAATCACGATACATTGTATAATTGTTAATTTTGAATTCAGAAGCAATTTGAAACACCAGTGTATGAATCAAGTTCATGAATTGAACAAAACAAGATGCTGGTACAACATAATGTTTACACATTCAATAAATACGCACTGATGCATGCTTCAGATGCACGCTCTTGGTATTTGGCAAGTGTATAACAATAAACACATGATATAAATTGCTATTTGAAATCACTCGATGTACCAGACATTAAAAAAAGATCTTGTGATACATATCATTGAGAGAGTGAACATCAATTTACGGATATGCTCTCACTGTGAATTAATGTTCCTTTTTTCACAATAAGTTTATGTGTGCCCAGCACTGTGTGCATATGCTAAATTTGAAATTACACAGACCTATTAAAGAAAGTTTTTGATAAATATTTGATTCAAGCTGAATGATAAATTATGAGAAGATTGTTTTGCTTTAATACTGTTTTTCCTACTCTGATTCCAGTAAATATGAAACTATGTGAAGTCTCTTCAAAATACAGTTAGATTTATCATAACAATTCTCAGCGTTTCGATTTGAGAAATAGTATGTGTCTACACAACTATACAGAACAAAAAAAGTAAGGAATCATAATTATTTTTGGAGACATTTTTTTAGAATTGTATGCTCAGTCCTCAGTAAAAAAAAAACAGTCTCAGACTAGCGACTTGTCCGAAGCCTGAGTCTAGTCAAATTCTGTTCGGTTTAGTAAGATCAGCTCATAAATGCCATATGATAACAGTGAAATTTGCTGGAAATAATGCTGAGAGCAAAGTTCGTGCGAGTGGACTCAAAAGCTTTAGGCACAGACAGAAAACATTTCCAATTCCTAAGTAATTTTGTTCAGTGTAGTAACGATGAGGTGAACAAGTACAGAAGAAAGCAGGTGTGGTAGGCAGTATTTGTGTCTTGCTGTGGCATTTGTTAGGAAAATAACACATTACATGAGTGATTTATCCGTCCTTGTCACAGGACAGCAACTAATATGTGAAAAACGTGTGCAGCTTTGGTTTGACACCATTCACTGAATACCAGTTAGATGGCTGGCAGTTGATAAGAAAGTTTCTACATTTGTTCATTGTGTGTGAATGTTCTTATTTGTTTATGTCTATTTCATGCTCATCAAATAGTGGATGTGACATTAAATTTACCTGGCAATATTTTGTTTTGCAAGCATAATATCTAATTGATTGTATAAATATGATGTATTTCTGAAATGGAAAATGCCAATTAACAATAAAAACACAACAAAAATGGTATTGTTTCAAAGACAGCAGCAGAATATCAATTGATCAAATGTTCTTAAGGGGACTGAGCTACTGTTTTATTTAGTAAGTTGTTCACTATTCAGGCCTGCCAAAAAAAAGAGTTGGCACTTTACAGCTATTCGCCAAGTTGATTACGAGTCGACAATGTATTCAGAAAATAAAAATATGCTATTCAGTTGATGCTTAATCATCGTTTTGTGAATACATTGTCAACTCGTACTAAACCCAGCGAATAATTGTTTTGTGTAAAATCTACTGATGTCTCTTGGTCAGCAAAACAGTGAAATAGAATACACGTTTGTTTTTCAACACTGTTAGATCTTTGCTTTGGCAGGCCGGGTATATATAAGCTCCAATTTCAAAAGCAGTGTTTAAACTTCAATTTTCTTTTCAGGCAATTCAAATATTTAGAAAATGGTGGGCCAAAGAGTTCCTACCCGGTGACAATGGTTGGTAAGACAGATCCTTACGCAGACAGTCAGAAGAAACGGAGAGTCCATCGATGTGACTTCGAGGGCTGTATGAAGGTGTACACAAAGAGCTCTCACTTAAAAGCACATCGAAGAACACACACAGGTAAGCAACATTGTTTTAATTATGTTTGTCTGGGATATCATAGTGTGTTCAACTTGCAACGACGATGATATTTCATAATTTCGATGACAAATTTGCACCTGACAACTGTCATGGAGAGCAAATTGCTAAAAAATGTCAATGGTCATGTTGGATTGTCTGCTGTGTCTGTTTGTTGTTTAACGCCGCACTCAGCAGTATTCCAGTTATATGATGGCAGTCTGTAAATAATCAAGTCTGGACGAGACTGTCCAGTGATTGACAACATGTGCATCGATCAACACATTTGACATACAATGACTTGCATGAACGAAGTCAGCGAGCCTGACCACCCAATCCCTTAAGTTGCCTCTTACGATTAGCATGGAATACTGAAGATCAATTCTAACCCGGATCTTCATGGATGGTCTGCAATGTTCCTGATCTGGTTTCATAGAGACTGTGCAAAGTTCTCCCTTAGCCGTAAAGAATCCTATGATGGTGGTCCAGATCCCAGATTCACCCTGAATGTGATTCTTGGATTGCCGGCACTATTGCTCATTGATTTCATGGAAACTGGTACATGTCTGAGACCTGCATTATTCCTGTCATTGCACCCACGTCAAGCTGACACGTTGTGATAAAAGTTACAGACTGTTGAAAGCAGAGTTAGACTCAACCTACTCAATCAGTCGCTTTATTCAAAATGCAATAATTCAAAGATTGTGGCCTACTGTTGATGTCCTTATATATCTGACTTCTGTTTGTTACCTGAGAAATACTGAATAATAATAATCATTATGAACTCTGAATGTGTATAATATGTGATGAATGTGTGACTTCAAGTGAGCAAGTGATTTGGGTTGTATGCTGCTTTAGCAATATTCCAACAATGTAATGGTTGGGGCTTCACAGATCGTGTCCATATGAGGAATTGAACCCAGGCCTTCAGTGTGAAGTGTGAACACTTGAACCCCTGGGCTACCCTACTGCCCCTCAATACTCCTTTCAGAGCTAAATAGCATAAGGTTTTGTAACTAGTGACTTATGTGCTATTGAAACATTGTTGTGCACATCAATAACTTTAGGGTAGTTTATCAACAAGCAGGTTTTGAATCCTTTAAATCCAACTTGAGAATTGACCTAGTCCAAGTCCAAGTCCACATTTGAGATGAAACTTTACCCATGTACATAGCAGTGGTGTGTGTGATATAACTTCAAGGGGGTATTCAGCCAAGTTAACAATGATGCCAGTATGCAGGGGCGGTCTTGAAAAAACCTGTATTGAATTGGTCCCCCTGTATCTGTTGAATGTATTTGTGCAGCCATCTACTGTGAATGTCAAGGTGTAACGATGGTTGTGTGCTGTTACGCCCCCAGCAGTTGCAGTGAGAATGACAGCTGTCTACTCAATTGTAGGCTTTGACGTTAGTTTGTAAATTATTAACTGGTTATACAAACAGTCAAAGGAAGACTCCGTTAGATGGGAAGAGAGTGACAGAATTTCAATTTTTTTCTGTTGTATTCCCTGACAAGGAGTAGTTGGTTGGAGAGAAACAGGAGGTTGGAGGACCTAGTTAGCCCTGGGAATATTCGCCGACAAATAGATACTTACAGCACTGGTTCACTGAGCAAATGTAGCAGTATCATCATGGTATTAACACTTGGTCCAAAATTGAGTCGAAGGCCACAATAAATTATTAGATTTTCATCCAACTTTTTCAAGGTTGGCAGAAGGTGTTTTTTCTCATCTTGGTCATGGTGGGCTATGGACAGGTGTATGTCATCAAGTAAAGAAAGAAATCAACATACTGTGAATTTCATCAGTAGGGACTTGGGAAGAATAAAATTACATGAGGCAGCTTTTTGTCTTTTGAAGTGGTCGGGGATGAAAGTCTTACAATTTATTAATTATGGCCTAAATAAGTTTTTTGACTATGAAGAAAATGTCCCAGATTTTTGATGCACTAATGTACTGAAAGTAATGACCCTCCGCTAATGATTGTCCTATTTTTGGATGACCAATTTGGATTGACGTGCCAATAGCTGAGTGTGTGGAGTTTTGTGGATGTACACCTCCTAACCTTCTGTCTCGTGGTGTATCATCCATTCAGGTGGTACAGTCCTGTACACCATGTGATTTACACATGTCACTCCTACACCAGTTGTCCCAGCTGTGATACTACAACTCAATGACTCTGCATGGGTCGGACTCGGTGCCTAGAACAAGTAACAGTCTGTGTAACGTAGACAGCTGCAATGTAGGACCCTATACTCTAACTCACACCAAACATTAGTCATCCACTTGCACAAAACAATCTTAGAGTTAAGACTATTGTCAGGCCTGGGCTTTGACATAGATTTACAACAGCTGTGATTGGGCTTGCTAAAAAGATCAATAATCAGAATTATTGTCGATGGGAAGAAATATTAATGATTATCAATATGAAAATTGTGTCATTGATAATATCTTACAGGAACAATTGTGTTGAAATAAGGTTTTAATTTACCAAAGCAGACTTGTTATTGTCCATTGCCAACGACGGAAAGCAATTGATTTGTTATATCTTGCATGTCCACAGAGTATTCCATACCTACATGTGTCACCACTCACCAGTGACGTGAAATATGTTGTTATAACTTGGAGCTTTTTCACATTTGCTCAAAGTTATTTCTCCGATATTTATTGACAATTGATTGTTGTTTAGTTAACGATTATCCATCTCTATGTCTGTATTGATAGCCAGCCCTGGTTATGATGATGTTCTTTGTGCATACAGGCCCAATTTCAAAGATTCTGATGCATGTTTGTAAGAATGGAAGTTCTTTGATTGTAGTACTTATATAAAAATTTCAGTAAACAAAATATCTTTTTTCAAGAATTCAATTTTTAGCTTTTAACTTTGCATTAGTTACAAGTAGTGTTTTAAAAAGGAAAACCATAGTTTGCATTCAGTATGTTCAGATAAATTCCTTTTTTGTGTTATATAAAACAAAATAAATGTTGATAATTTATTAGTGGTATTCAAATACTTCTTACCATGATAACTTATTAAACCCAAATAGTATTGATTATTTATTCGAGTTACCAAATGAATCAGTTGAAATAAATTCACAACTGAAAGCATTTTATAACGAACATGATTCATTGCGCGTAGTTTAAACACTTAAGGGGATAAGGTTGTTGAATTATAATTTCCCTAGTTAAGCACCGCCTGTATTGCTGTGTACTGAGTAAATATTAGACTCAAACAGACACTGAATATGTGTAGTCTTCTGACGCCTCCACAAGTACAAATTACCATTTTAACATTCAATCATGTCTTCATTTCCTACACATTCATCTCCACTGCATATAGCTGAGGGAGAAACATTTTCGTGAAGATTTTGTCAGCTGAAAGGAAAAAGAGTGAAGTAGTTGTTAAGATTGGTGTTCACTCAAGTAGGGTCACATTCTGGTGCTTTTATTTATTCACATTTGCCTCAACTTTGTCATGATTTCTGTAATGCATCCAGATCTTGCATTGACACAGCCCCCAAAATAGGCCCAAAGGAAGTATTCATTTGACCGCACCCTATGTACTTTAAGAGCTTGAATTGGGATGAAATTTAAACTTGATGTCGGTGGTGACAGTTACATAGAGTGTTAACAGAATATTGTTGTATTTTACTGAGTTACTCCCTGCCCCTATGTTGTGGATCCCTCACAGTTTAATCCCCAAGTAGGAACGTGGTAGTCCACTGTTCTAGTGAACGCCTCCGTGGTCTAGTGGTAGAGCGTCTGCCCAAAGAGTGGAAGGTTGGGGTTCGATCCCCGCCTGCGTCATTCCAAAAGACGTTAATAGAAGGTACCCTGTCTGGCACTCGGCATTAAGGGGCTAAAACAAGGACTGGTCAGCTCGGAGTCCATATACTCTGTCTGAGTAGGTTATTCATGTTAAACTGCAACATGGTATCTCAGTGGGCTAACACTATAAAATCAGCATTAGTCCGGACTAGTACAAACAAGCCAGACACACACTTGCATGCACATCACTATATAAGTGCAATAATCTTGAATGCAACGTTTATATAAAACTCATTTTCACCACACCTCATTGAACCAGTTCACTGTGCAGAGTTGCATCCCTTAGTTATGCCAGGATCTGTTTATGGTGGATTCAAATACTAGATTTAGGCTTAATGTGGTCAAGGTCTGCAATCTGCCTTTCTTGGGCTTTCCTTTCCAACTAGAAGTGTTCTTTGTAGTTTCTTGTTTAAGGCCACACACTCAGCAATATTTCAACCTGGACCAGACAATAAAGTGATTGAGATTGTTATCATAGATCTATACATTTGGGATATGATGACATTAATCAACCAAGTCAGTGAGCCTGACCACCCGATCCCATTTGTCGCCTCTTGTGGCCAGCATATTTGCCATTTTCTTGTAACTAAAGTTATAACCTCGAGCTTCATGGGTACTAGAAATCTGTTCACTGTGGTGTTAAACCTGATGACCAGTCATGTTAGTGAAGGCTTGATTAGGGATTGGATTAGTCCCTGACTATGGATAGAAAGCCTACAGTGCACTGGGAAGACCCAACTCTGAGTCATGCCCTGGCTTTTTTTAAAATAAAACCTCACACAATATGCTTCTTTCTTTAGGTGGCATTTTATAGGCTGTAGTGTCTGTTAAAATCTGTTAAAATTCTCCTATTGCTTGTAAATAATGTTTATTTTATAAATTACATAATTTACTTAGTGCTTTGAGGATAAATTTTATGTATGAAGTTATTTATAAATTCACTTCATCAACATCACATGCTGGTACAGATGCTAGTACCTTTGTTGGTAATTTGCTTGATGAAAATACTAGCATCAGCCCTGCCAAAGATTTGCATTGAAATAAAAAATGGATGTCACGATTCACCAATATATCAATTAATGCATTAACAGTTTTCTCAGACGATACGATATGCAATACACACTCACCTGCATCTATTCATATTTTAAACCTGTGATGTTTCACACATGGACCATTTATAAACAGCAATTTGAATGACTTTGTTGGGACAATGGGTGCTACATACATTTTAATAAATGTTTTAGTCTTTTTCCTAATTGTGTTGAGACTCAAGTTATATCTGTAATAATGTATTCATTGAAATGACACATTTTTATTTTCAAATATAAGACCAGACATTCATAAAGTTTCAAGCCTTTTCCATAGTTTGTATGCCCTATGAAATGTAAATATTCCCTCAAAGTAGCAGCATATCGTGATACGTATCGTATCGTGAACAAAGAACATACATTATATGGTGACATCCCAAAAATAATATAGCAGTTTAGACCCATGTTAACTGTGTCTTCACTATATTGATTTGTCAGTTGACATCCATGTTCTTTCTGGACAAATGTGTAACTATATCATGTCTTTCTGGACAAATGTGTAACTATATCATGTCTTTCTGGACAAATGTGTAACAATATCATGTCTTTCTGGACAAATGTGTAACTATATCATGTCTTTCTGGACAAATGTGTAACTATATCATGTCTTTCTGGACAAATGTGTAACTATATCATGTCTTTCTGGACAAATGTGTAACTATATCATGTCTTTCTGGACAAATGTGTAACTATATCATGTCTTTCTGGACAAATGTGTAACTATATCATGTCTTTCTGGACAAATGTATAACTATATCATGTCTTTCTGGACAAATGTGTAACTATATCATGTCTTTCTCCATCAGGTGAGAAGCCGTATGTGTGTAACTGGGAGGGCTGTACCTGGAGGTTTGCCCGATCCGATGAGTTGACGAGGCACTACAGAAAACACACAGGAGACAAACCCTTTAAATGTCAAGTCTGCGACCGAGCATTTTCACGATCAGATCACCTCTCACTGCATATGAAGAGACACTGAAGGTAAGAACATTCAGATTATTTTTTTGCCATTCTGAAGGAATTTGATCTTTTATGAACATGCCAAATGACAAGAAAAATTGCACTTGTTGTTGCCCTGCCTAAAAGAAAGACTAGCAAGCTTGAAGTCAGTATAATACATCGGATGGGATATTATGTTAAACTGTGACATGGTAAAGTGGGCTAGCACTATAAGAACAGCATACCTTAAACCTCATTTCACTTCACACATCACTTTGCTTTTTCTTAAATCGTTGTCCATTTATTGATTGCGATTGCCTCAGTGTGGTCACCAGATAGTTCTGTGTGTGAATAGGCCCCCTGTACCCCATGCATCTTGTTGGTCTGAGAGGGCACAACGCCCCCTGTACCCCATGCATCTTGTTGGTCTGAGAGGACACAACGCCCCCTGTACCCCATGCATCTTGTTGGACTGAGAGGGCACAACGGCCCCTGTACCCCATGCATCTTGTTGGACTGAGAGGACACAATGGCTCCTGTACCCCATGCATCTTGTTGGTCTGAGAGGACACAACGCCCCCTGTACCCCATGCATCTTGTTGGACTGAGAGGGCACAACGGCCCCTGTACTCCATGCATCTTGTTGGACTGAGAGGGCACAACGGCCCCTGTACCCCATGCATCTTGTTGGACTGAGAGGACACAATGGCTCCTGTACCCCATGCATCTTGTTGGTCTGAGAGGGCACAACGCCCCCTGTACCCCATGCATCTTGTTGGACTGAGAGGGCACAACGGCCCCTGTACTCCATGCATCTTGTTGGACTGAGAGGGCACAACGGCCCCTGTACTCCATGCATCTTGTTGGACTGAGAGGGCACAACGGCCCCTGTACCCCATGCATCTTGTTGGTCTGAGAGGACACAACGGCCCCTGTACCCCATGCATCTTGTTGGACTGAGAGGACACAACGGCCCCTGTACCCCATGTATCTTGTTGGTCTGAGAGGACACAACGCCCCCTGTACCCCATGCATCTTGTTGGTCTGAGAGGACACAACGCCCCCTGTACCCCATGCATCTTGTTGGTCTGAGAGGACACAACGCCCCCTGTACCCCATGCATCTTGTTGGTCTGAGAGGACACAACGCCCCCTGTACCCCATGCATCTTGTTGGACTGAGAGGGCATAATGGCAGCTGAATCATGAATAAAGTCAGCTTGATTGCTGCTTGTTATCATTCACTGATCTTGTGGCTTAACATATTCAGAGTGGTTTTCCTGTGCAAGAATTAAACTTGCCATGATGTAGTACAAACGTTGCAGACTGTAGTATTAAACAATACTGGTTTTTTAAATATGTGCTCTGGGGTTGGTATTAACGAGACCCGTGAAGATCTGAGGTAGAATAGGTCTTCAGCAACCCATGCTTGCCGTTAAAGGCGACTATGCTTGTCGTAAGAGGCGACTAATGGGATTGGGTGGTCAGACACGCTGACTTGGTTTATGCATATGTCATCGTATCCCAATTGCGTGGATCAATGCTCATGTTGTCAATCACTGAATTTTCTGGTCCAGACTCGATTATTTGCAGACCGCCATCATATGGCTGGAATATTGCTAAGTGCTGCGATAAACAACAAACCAACCAATGAGAGACTAACACGTTGGGTTAGCTCATGAGATATCAACTAAGTGTTCTAATCTCATAGCTTTTTCTTTGCTTCTTAAGGCATTTTTTTAGACCAGGACCACACCCAACCATCATTAGACCCTCATGCTGTTTAACACAGTTAAATAATGACTGAAAAATAGAATAAGATCAGTATTAGTGTGCATTGTGAAAAAAATGTATCCATGTATTCATGTTTGTTGAACTTTTACGAGACATGTGTCTCGGATATACACAGATGTTCACAGGTGTGATGGATGTTCAAATACGGCTGTGTCAAAATGTCCCAGAAATCATGTTGAGACTTAGAATGGGAAGACGAACATGGCAGGCCTAAATGAAACATGGTTTAGGCAACGAGTTGTTGTTTGTTTTTTGCCGGGAATTTGTGTGCATTTAATTACAATCTGAGCAGCAGACTGCAGGTGTGCCAAGTTGTACTCATTGATGCAAACTCACCCGTCACACCCTTCTTGGACCAGCATGGTGGTCCCTCCCTATTTGACCCAGAGAGTTACCTTCCCCTGCCTTGGCTTTGATCCTGTTTGTTTTATCTTCCTGGGATAAATAATTGGTTTAGAATTAGCGTTGGAGTGATTATAATTGGTCCCTGATTGATGTTTAGTCCAAAGTTTCCCCACCCACAATGCATTGTGTGAAAGCTGTAGGGCAGTGAAGGTTTTGCCTTAGGCGATTTGTGGAGGTGCGTGCTTCTGTCCAAATGTTGACAGTGGTGCTGGGAGTTGAGCACAGCTCATTAGGTCAGTTGTTGATGACCACTGTTGCGGACACGTCCAGACAATAGCCTTCACCCTTCTGAGACAACAGACTAGATGGCAACACCCTGTTATCCAGTGTGCACAGATTTAATCAGGCGGCTTCCCCACTCAACCAACACACTTCCCCATTTCAGGACTTGACCAGTGTTTGGGTGACCTGACCCCTGTTCCTTGAGTGACCTTTAAGCAGAATAGGCCTGAGGTCTTCTCTTTAGAGTTCTGATTTCCCTTACCTTCTATTACACTAACCAGGCCGCGTCGGTTTGATATGAAGTTGTATGCTAATGCCTAATCTGAAAACTATTTAATCTCACCTTATAACAACTAACATTAAACGAAAAATTCTGATTAATTAAATACATCTAAATTGTTATTTGCTGATCTGTACATTTTTATGCCAGGTACAATATATGTAATATCATCATCGGTAGTCAATAGAACCATGGTGTAACTGAAATCATGATCAAAGTGGCATCAAACCAGACTCACACTAACTAGTACTAATAATGTCCCTGTAACCCAGTAAATATATATGATGTATTTATTAAATTCAATTTGTTGATCTGTTCCTTCTTAGTATTTAATTAAATTATTTGTGTTACAGGTTGTGTAAATAAGCCTGTTGGCTGTGCATCACCCCTATCCAGACCTACCAGTCTGTTGCCCAGGATGACCGCAACAAAATGGCTGCCTCCTCTTCTCATAGTATCGATGAATCGAGACTTTGTTACCCAACTTTGAGGATGGTCAACATTAGGTGTCATCCGTGCGTGATAACCTCACTGGACCACCTGCCAGGTTCTACTGGAGTCCAGAGCCCCTATGATTAGTGATCAAGAAAGTAGTTTCTTCTGCTGGAACTTAGTCATGAGGAAAACATTATCTACTGCTGTCTGTGATTCCAAGATGGTGGACCAGCTATCGTTTGTGATGACACTGCCTGCTTTTTTCGCCATGAAAGACAAATGGCTGACATGAGTGACCTTTGACCCTGCTGCTGATTGGTTGCTTCCATTTGAGTTTTACACAAGGATAGTTCTAACCAGTTTGTTTGATAATCTATTTGTTGAAGTATATAAGCAGAGATAATATCGACATCATCTTCTAACCTCAGCCTGTTTTTTGAAGAAGTAAGTTGTTGTATTTGGAGTTGAGTTTTGTCTTATTGGGAGCAAGGATAGTTTGTACATTGGCATTGTAATGTCTCACGACTAATGTATTCTTTTGTGTAGAGGTGAAAAATTCATTGCCACATATTCAGGTAATGGTAATATGGGAAATTATACAAACTGCTCAATATATCAACTGCTTAAGACTAACAGTAACCACATATTGCCAGCTAGATTGATGCCAAAGAGAAAGTTCATGAACTCAGATATCATTGAAATTTCGAGGCTGAAATATTACTGAACCATGTGAACTCACCAAGACCAAAATTGATGCTGAATATGTTGACCCAGTGAGAATAAGATACAATGGAATATCACATTCATATGCCCTATATTCATAGGACTGTATCAAAGGCTAGAAAGGTGAATTTATTTATTATTGATTGGAGATTTCACTTTGCAAAAAATGGTTTAAGAGCTGTTTCCTTCTAAAGATGGATTCTTTTATAAGGCAGAAGCAAAATTGTCGTCATAGCCTTTGACATGGTCCCCATGTTAAATGTCATGTGCAGCTGTGATACTGTGTAAAATTTGGAATGAACTTAGCTTGAGGAACCTGTCTAAACACCTGTATTTCACCCATCTATGATAATCCATCATATGTCTAAAGTCTCACAAGAACTTGATGTGACTTGTTAATGTTTAGAACCAAGAACTTGGCTTATGCACTCCCTTCCTTAAATGTTTTGACATAATGTTCCTTGGATGGTAATGTCTGTATCCTAAAAGTGAGATGTTAATGTACGGTGTGTTTGTGTTGAAACAACAACATAGATATCCCAATGGTCTAAAGTGCCACAATTTGCTGTGCAGAGTTGTGTCCCTTGGCCATGCCTGGATCCATGGTCATTGGTATGAATACCCGATTTGCCCAAATAATGATCCTTGGTCTGTTGGCAGAAAACACATGTTTAAGGATTTCACCAAAGTTGTAAATGTCTATAACCTTCTCTACTTTGGGCTACCACCAACATTCAAGCCAACACATATGATAAGACTACAAATACCAGTCAAAGTTATGTTAAACACAGCTCACTCACTCACTCACTCACTAGCCAAGGTCCTGGCTCTAACCACTGACAGGCTTCAGCATCGTGTCTGTGGCCTTCATCTGATGTACTTAAAGGGGCAAGGGATGATATTTTGATATATACATGTAATACATCATCTGTTGTGTATTGTCTAATTTCTGATGGGTGTGTTATGTGATTACACATGGTTATGTACATTTCCGTGGTGACATCTGACCTGTCAATCAAACCATGACAACATTGTTATATATCTGTATACAATGTAGATATATTTCTGTCTATTGTGATATGTTACAAAATGTTCATGGTTGTACACAGTTTGGTCCACTTTTTATACCACTTTTTGTATCCATAATTTAATTGCAGATGCTTCCTTTTAAGTTGAAATTTAGAAGCTTGAATTAGTTCAGATTAGAGAACGTTCATTGTTACAAATGACTATAGAAAAATAGAAAAGTGAAACTGAACCCAAAAGATAAATACTAGCGATCATTTAGTGCTTTTACAGATTAACAAGGATTATTTAGTGGTCATAGACCATTATGGTTGCATTGTCAACAGCATGTTTTAAGAACTATCTAGAAAATGTGCAAGACTAGACAATATTTCACATTTTGAACTTCTGAAGTAGGTTTGCATGGAGGTTTTAAATGTGAAATTGGACAGAATTGTAAAATAGTCACCTTGAGAAATACTACCTTTTTGATATTAAGTTAAACTTTGTATCATTGTAATGAGTGCGCTAGTCAAACTGTTAACCCAACAGGGTTGTATATGTACATGTATTCAGTACAGGAGATGTCAATCGATATTTGACATTCTATCAACATTATGATGGCAACTGACTGAAATTAACGGTTGTATAATATTATTGTTAATATTATTAAAATGTATATGAACATAACTGAAATAATTTTACTTTAATAATTTCATGAATTGCTTCATCAAATCAAAACTACTAAAATGTTGGAACCACCATTATTGCTCTTAGGAACAGGGACTCCTGAATGGGATGTGGTTTTAAAGGATGAATTATGATTGAGAATGAAAAGATACATGGTAAACTGTCTCATACAATCTTGCCATGGTGATTAAAGTCAGTTCTTGCTTTGTAGTTTTATGCAATCAATATTTTGCGTATAGAGCTGTCCGAACTTGGAGGCTTCCTTTGAAGATATGGAGGACAGAGTTATCTCCCTTTAAGACAGTTTGTATATTAAGAAAATCAGATAACTATTGTGCCAAGTGTATTTCTGCTGACAAATAAGACTTCCCTGTTTTATTTTCTTTATGCTTTTTGCAGTTTCAGTGTACAATGTGGTGAACAGATTAATATTATTAAATTACATAACTGTTCAGAGCAATGTTCAGATGCTGATGCGTGCTTATATCATTATTTCTTACACTGTGGACTAATGAATATAAAGTGTTACCAACCACAAAACCTCTGCACATATTTCTGCTGTTTTGTGGATAGATATGTTTTAAGACAAGGAAATTATGTTTGCCTATGTTACTGTTGTTCAAAACCTTCTTTTTGTGATGGTTGCAAAAAATCTTCCGAATATTTACTGCTGCTATATATATATGTATTCATATAAAATTCAAGATGTTTTATGGATAAATTAACTAAAACGGGTTAAAGTTTCAGGATAAAGGCTCTGTGAAAATATTTTTTTGCCATTTGTATTTATCACTGAAAATATCACGACGTGATCTATTAATTTTGTGCATGTCACAATGAAGCTGTTAATTCCGCTAAAATATTTGGCATGAGGAATGTTTATATTTTTACACCGACATGCAGACTTGTGCAAAGAGGAAGGCAGAGCAGATTGACAGGTTGCATCCAATGTTCTGAAAAACCTGTGAGAAGAGTGGGTTTGGCCCTGAACAAATTTGTAGAAGATTTCCTCCAGGGGTGTGTATTTGATCGACATATCCTGTCACTTCGGCAAATGATGCCGCGCCCATTCTAAACTCACCAAGTCTGTGTGCCTAGGTTGTACAATGAGGAGAAAATGGAGTCAAGCTTTCACTGAATTGACTTCAGTTTAAACAAAGCAGGTATCAATTACCCAATGCTATAATTTGTAAATGTGTGGTCTGGGATTTAAAGGGAGGTAGCAGCATATAGTAAAAGCTGTGCTGAAAATATCACAAGATGAAAAAAGGCAGGGCCCTACTTATCTTACAGGGTTGGTATAAACAATAATTTTATTTTAAAATTAAAATCTTTGTTTATGAGAACATGTTAAGAGGTAACAGATTATTTTAGTTTAGTATATATAATAAATGTGAATTTACAATTTTTGATCCTATTGATAGTGAATTTTATACGATACTAATTTGGTTGTAAAATTTGTGAATTTTTCTATTATTTGGTCCCCACCAAGGTGAGCTATCAAACAGCTCATTAGGGCTAGCCCCCATGCCGGAAGCTGGGCGAGAAGCTTACTATTTGTCATTGCCTCTTGCACCTATTTGTGAAGCAAGCGATATTTGCATGCCACCGGGAATACAGTTCTCTACAACCCGACCTGACCAGGATAGCTGTGCCGTCTCAAAGCCAAGCGGATTGTCAATATTTAGTTTGTGGTAAGGATGTTTGTCTCCTGGATGATTCCTTACCACAGGTTAATTCCTCGAACACCAGTTTTATTGAGGTTTGGCAAGTTGTCTCCCTTTAACAAGTCTGCTTATTTGAACTGTTGATTGAGGGTGAAAACTCAACATGGTATAATTTTGAAAAATGACATCTTCTAGGCTCATGGTAACATTTAGTAAGGTTGTTTTTTTCTTTTTGAGTTGAAAAATTCATTTTAGAATTCTAAGTTGACAGTCCTTTATTTTATAAGCAGTTTCTTGTTTGGAAATATTTATTGTTCCAGTATCCGATACTGAAACTGGATTAAGGATTCAAAACATGTTGAATCAGCCACTTCCAATTGTTATTAAACATTACAGTTTGATGTATCATGTTTAACAATAAGTTTAGAAAACATATTCAATTTTCTTAGGCTAAAAAACACCCTTGGTTCCCAGGCATTGTTGCATAATGACATCACTCCTATTGAAAGCATCCTTTACGCTGTCCATATTTGTGTCTGTGTTTCCCATCTCCCACACGCTTAGAACTTTCATTCCCATGGGAAATGATAAAAGGTTTTCTATCCTCAATTTTCCCCATTCCTGAGGAAATTTATGCCCTGATGTGATGGAAAAAATACTCCAACCATTGCACACTCATTAAAAAAAAGTTCAGCTTGATCTTTCTTCAGTTATGTTTTTTCAAAAGAATTTCAATCTACATCATAAAAAAAATGGTATTGAGTCTAAGTTTTAAAATGTCATCAAATAAGTTACACTATTAGTAAATTCTTTGTTAATTCTTTTTTATTATTGTTGCCCACCCGCTGTCTAACTGGTTCAGGTTGGAGATGAAGAACATATACATGGATAGCCTTATTTAAAAAGGGTACAAGTTTTTCAGATGTCCTTGCCTGACAACCAATTTAGTTTTTGTTTATCCAGCCTTAGTTGTTATGACATGTCATTATATATGCTTACAAATCTGCTGCAAGGTCCTCTTTGTTTGAACAGTTTGTTGTTATTTTTTACTACAGTTTTCTAATAATCTGGTTTCGTTCCGAAACATTATTTATTTGCCATTGTGAAATTAATTATTTACGTTTGTTGAGCTGATTGATTTATGAATGGAACTAACAATGTCGTCACGACATGGGTAAGTTGATGGACAACTTGGGAAGATCGTTAGATTTACTTAACCAAATGTGCAATATGTAAATTCTGAAAGGTTTCGACGTACTTACTGTATCACTATTGTCATGATATGAAAACAATATTGTGAAGTGTGGGGAGTTTAAACCTGGATGCACTGTGTGTTCCCAATAGAACTCAAGGCTGCTTCACACTGTACGTGGACAAATTCCAAAGGAATTATATTTTTTCAAGAAGATAAAATACTAAATTAATTTCCAACTCCATGGCATGACATAATGTAGGCTCAGTGTTGTTTTTGATATTTTTTAATAGACAATAAAGCTATTAACTACAGTGAGATATCACGTCAAGAATTATTAATTATGTTACTGTGATAAACTGGGTTTTACAGATTGCTTTGAATATAACTTTGATCTATTGACAACTTGTCGTCATCATTACATGGCAGAAACAATGCAGATGCTGAATGTGAACCCAGTCCAGTCAATAATGAAAAAATAAAGTTTATTATTGTGAAAAACTATAACCGATACTTTGGTCAAATGGAATTGAGGACATAGAAGATTATCAAGATTATCTGCAATTTTTTCAAGATTTGACTATTGTAGGATTTTTTTTATTCACCATTTCCTTTACTGGGCCGTGCTGGGCAGTGTGTGCCATGGAGTTGTGCTGGATTGCAGTTGCTTATTATTTCCTATCTGAAGTAGAACGTCATCTGATAGTGTATGATCTCATGAATTGTGAAATACTGTGAACATTGCTATTGTTACTTTCCCACATCTATATGTTTCTATATATCCATTTCTTGCCATCTGAATACCATTGTACATAAACATTGTCCATAAAGTTACCAAGAAATAAACACAGTTTTGCCCAAACCTTCTCTTTGTTTCTGACTGAGTGTGTGACTTGGCTATTTGACTGTCAGCTACTTTACAGATCTGGGAAGGGACCTTGTGACCTGTCAAGTGAGTGAGTAAATGTCATTATATGGTGTTATGCCATTTTTAGCAATATTCCTGCAATAGACTGGCAAGGAACATCAGAAATGGGCTTCACACATTGTACCCATGTGAGGATTTGAAACCAGGCCTTTGGCTTAACAAGCGAACACTTAAGGCTATGCCTTGTACTCAAGACAAACTGTCTTTCCATAGTGTAAGGTGTTTAAGTAAGTAATCTGATGCAATGGTGATTGAGCTTTAGTGATTGTTTTAGCATAATAAAGGCCACTGCTGCCACCAATCCTCTTTGTTTTTCAAACCACAAGGTGTTTAGACATCTTGGATATCATAATCAAGCATATCCCTTTTATGGCCCAATGAAATGGGGGGGGGGGGGGGCGCACAGGTTGCCCAGTCATCTAAGGCACGGCAATTCGCTGTGTAGAGTTGCGTCCCTTTGGCAAGCCAGAAACTTATGATTCTCGGTTCGAATCCAGGTTCACCCCTATTATGTTTCTAGGTTTGTCAGCACCATACCAGTGCTCCTGGGTTTCACTTAAGTGGTAAACGTCTTAGACCGGCATCACTTCGGGCTTTCCTCCCACATTAAGCTGACACCCCGTGATATAACTGGAAAAGAGGTGTTAAACCCAACTCACTCTTCCAACAAACTATCACATTTACATTTCATGATCCCCTACTTCTTATGGAGAGTATATATCGAAGCAATTGGGTCAGTTAAGCTAATTTACTAATCTGAGTAAGACTGACACAAATGAGTTGACACATTTAGGTTTGTTTGTCGTTTAACGTGGCACTCAACAGCGTTCCAGCTATATGACGGCAGTCTGAAAATAATGGAGTCTGACCAGACAATCCAGTGAATGACATCATGACCATCGATCTATGCAACTGAGATACGATGACATGCATCAACCAAGTCGGCAAGCCTGACCACCTGATCCTGTTGGTCGCCTCTTACGACGAGCATGGTTTTCTGAAGATCGGTTTTAACCTGATCTTCATGGACAGCCCAATTTGGTCGCATCTTGCGACCAGCAATGGGGTGCTGGAAACACATTCTACCCACGGGAACTCATTTAGATAAACAAAACTTGTTATGGTTATATCTGAGGACAAGTGGCGTTGGCTAGAGTACATCTCCCTCATGACTTGGGCAGGGCTAGAGGAAGGTGAGTATATGTTACACTGATCTCATAGTAGGCGAGGTACAGGACAGATACTGTTCGAAGGACATCTCAACCTTAAGATATATATCAAGGAACACTGCATCCACTTGAAGAAACCTGACCGGGTACCGCTCATGACCACTTACTCCATTCTGACTATAGTGCCCTCTATCGGCCACAGCCCCGTTCCACAAAGCAATTGTAGCACTAAGACAATCGTAACTCACATACTATAACATAGACTTATGAAAATCGTAGCGCTACGATAGCTTTGTGGAACGGGACCAATGTTGAACTTGAGCGAAGATCACTGAGACATGGGAGTCTGGACGAGTCATGCCAAACGACGTTAAAAGGTGGTACTTGTTGTTACCCTGCCTGGCGCTTGACATTGCGGGGATAAATCAAGAACTGGTTGGCTCGGAGTCCATATACTGTGTCAAAGTGGAGTATCCATGATAAGTTTCATGGAATCTCAGTGTAAGTCCAGCACAAGCAGTCAAACACACACACTTGCATGCAAGTCGCCATGCAAATGAAATAATCTTGAACGCTACGTCAACTACAGTGTACAAACTTGTTTAAGTTTCTAAGAAATCAGTTCTTATAAATAAATATCTCAACAACAATAACTTCACAGACTGTTTATTGTTCATTAACACACAACACACTATAGGCTACATTACAGTGACATCGTTTTAGCCGATCGGGCAGCAGTATCCATTAGTGGGCGTGGAAAATATTTGCTTGGTTAACCAATTATATGCACATGCAATTTATTCATTACTGTTTAGAAACTGAAAAAGATGGCAAACGGCAAACCACGGTTATTTGTTACTTTATCAACTTGCTTGGAAATATTTGTGATTTCGGAAGACATTCGGGTGAGATTCTCTATACGTTTACTTTTCTTTCCGGTATCGATTAACAAATGAATTGTATAACACGTCAGCAAGGGCGATCATAAATAAATTAACAGGTCTTTTCTATCTGTGGGCTACATACGTATATATACTGTTGCACTGCATTAATATAAATGTTAATTTATATACACTAATATGATGTAATTATTTCAATCAAAACTAAAACACAATATTCAATACCCGGTCTGCAGCGGCGCTCCCATGAAGTGCAAATTGTTAAACTTTATGAACGAAGGGAGACAACCCTATTCATCCAGTTCGTCCCGGGCATATCTGAAGGGGCACACCATTTGGTATTGGGAAGGTTAGGGGAAGTTTGTTTGGTAGAGTATGGAATACTGTTAGGGGCATTCTCGCGATCTCGACCTTTGGAAACGAGGTAAATATGCCCAAAACACGAGAATTCGAGATCAAAAGAACGCGAGATTTTGGCCAAGTCTCGCGTTCTCGTGTTTTGGGCATATTTACCTCGTTTCCAAAGGTCGAGATCGCGAGAATGCGAGACCGCGAGACCGCGAGAATGACTTTTACAGTATTCCATAGTAGAGCCATATTGTTAGTTGTCTTTTTTCTTAATTGTTTTTAGATAAGATATTTCTTATGTCACATTTAAAATTCAACCTGTGGAAAGAATGTTAACATTTACTCACAACGGCGAGAGGAGTGTACTTTTCAGTTAATAACGTTGGGGATGATGGACATAAATAACATTTTGATGTAAACTGACGACCCAGAAAAAAAGTTACCAAACTGAAATTTGGACACGTTGGGTCCAAACCCCGAATAGTGTTACAAAATGGTTGAGAATCAATCGCCCAAACACTACACCATTTGCTTATCATGCACATGCCAGTGTGTCCAGATCAGTGGAGTTTGAAGGAAAAAAGGCTGCTACAGATGCAGCAAGCCAACCTACAAAAATACGAATATAAAAGGAATGAGGTGCTGTTCACTCCCAAACGGTTGAACAGTGACAAAAAGCATGCCAAAACAGAGAGAACAAGCCGTTAGTACGATACGTCGCAATGAGGTGTGGCTGTAGAATGTGCAGACTGGAGACAGGGCTAGGTGTGGGGCACCATCTATGGAAAAGTCAAGACAGGTCTGGTGATTTTGGAAGGAGATATCACAATTATACATTGACCAAGTTCTCCACCCACTTGTACTACCGTTCTTGCAACAGTGTCCCCGGGCCCTGTTTCAACAAGATAACACAAGGCCCCATACAACGCCTTGCCTTGTCCAGCACGATCGCCAGACCTATCACCCACAGATGGTGTAGACAACGTCGAAACGGGAGTAGTCGTCGCCCGTCACGTGTCATGTTTTCAGATTAGTCCGATTAACTTTGAACTTCTTTGATAAGCGTGGTCATGTCTGACGACGTCGAGATGGACGTCAAGCCAATGTCAACATTATCCCTCAGGACATTAAATAATGGCGGTGAATCGGGTATGGTGTGCATGGGGTGGCATCACTATGACTGAGCGAGCCCCACTCCATACTGTGCCAGCAAGGGGAGGTGGTGAGGTGAAATGGAGTTTAACGTCGCGTCCAAGACGTGCATGTACGTGTGTGTTTGTGTGGCTGCTTGTACTAGTCCGGACTGATGGCGATTTATAGTGCTAGCTCACTGAGATACCATGCCACAGTTTAACATGATTACCCCACTCAGACACAGTATACTGACTCCGAGCCGACCAGTCCATGTTTTAGCCCCTTAGTGCCGAGCGCCAGACAGGATAACAACAAGTACCATCTTTTAACGTCTTTTGGTATGACGCGGCCGGGGATCGAACCCCGGACCTTCCGCTCTCCGGGCGGACGCTCTACCACTAGACCACGGAGGCGGTCCGTGCAAGCAAGGGCAGTTTCACCGTCTCGGGTGAACAGACTATGGAACAGGTACCAAGAAACCCAAATGTTGACGACCGCCCCCGTTCAGGGTGTCACAGGTCAATGACAAGAGTTCACGATCATTTAACATCATGACATCCTTTGCTGTCAGGAGCGGTCGGGTAGTCTAGTGGTTAAAGCGTTCGCTCGTCACAACGAAGACCCGGGTTCGATTCCCGACATTGTACAATGTGTGAAGCCCATGTCCCCACCGTGATATTGCTGGAATATTGCTAAAAGCGGCGTTAAACTATACTCATTCACTCCTTTGTTGTCCTGGTTGCAAGGTGTGTGGGTGGCGTTTTGTCTTTCGGGAAGACAACGCCCGATCTCATCGTGCACGAATCGTCAATGCTCACCTCCAGCAGCACAACGTCCTCCCAGCAATGAGCCCAGACCATTCCCCTACAAAATACCCCCAGGACATGATAGGGAGATGTGTGCGTCAACGTCGTAGACAGCAGACCAGGTGGGCTGAACTTGGCCAGCTACAAGAGGAGTCGCCACTGGAGACGTAGCATGACTCGCCGCATCTTCGGCGACCGTCCAGCCACTGGGCTTACCTATATGATCTCCATCAACCGGCGGCTCCCAAGCAAGCCGCACGTACTACACGATATGACCTTCAGAGGAAGGTTGATGTTACGTCCTCTACAGAGACCTTCACTGGAGGACTCACAGAGAGCAAGTGATGAGCGGCATCGCACTGACTTCTCCGATGCCAGAACATCATCTATTCACAGACGCTTCAGATTCGGGATGGGGAGCCCATATGGACGATATCACGGTACAGGGATCTTGGAGAGAAGAACCTTCATATCAACTGCAGGGAAATGAAGGCCACATATTACGCCATCCTGGAATGGAAGATACATCTTTCCCAATCGTCGATCCTCATAGCCACGGACAAGAGCTCACCAGATTAACGCACTATCGACGGATTGGACGAGTCTGTTTGCTTACGCATTCCCACCATGGTGTCTCCTAGACAAAGTCATCCACAAGGTGGAGGAGACGACTTGCGTAATAATACTAACAGCTCAAATATGGCCTAGCAACCCATTCTTGCGGTAAAAGGCGACTAACGGGATCGGGTGGTCAGGCTCGCTGACTTGGTTTATATATGTCATCGGTCCCAATTGCGTGGATCGATTCCCATGATATTAATCACTAGATTGTTTGGTCCAGACTAACTATTTACAGACCGCCGTCATATAGGTGGAATATTGCTGAGTGCGGCGTTAAACAACCAACCAACCAAACCAACCAACCAACAGTGGATCACCCAGACTTCAACGCGCGGCGCACGTACCTCTGTTAATAAAATGGTGCCAAATGATTTGCAGCCATGTTGGTTTACAGCCATGTTGGTTTACATAAACATTCACACACATACTTAAAGGGAAAGAAAAGCGAAACCATTGATTGCGATTTTGATGCGAATATCAATTGTCCTAGAAATATTAAGTCAAATCCCGAGTGAATTTTTTTTTATAAACATTCGTAGAAAGCATTTCAATGTCCAGGTGAAGGTGCTGAAATCACACACTCCGTCATCGGAGTCCAAAACGAAACTATTTGGTGGCGCGGCCCAAAGCTACTGGCAGAGAGGTGCAACCGTGCGTGACAAAATTAGTGTGTTTTTTTGGTGCTGATATGCAGACATTTGATGCTCAACATCTACGTCAGGCAGCGGTTGCTATTTCTGTAAATCCTACAAAAGTAACATTGCATATATTGTTCAGTACAAAAATAGCCTTGCTGAGTGTGTGAAACGACCCCTTGATCTTGACATTGTAAATAATTAAAACAACAATTAATTATTATTAATGTCTGTGACGGGTCTTTTTATGTATAACATTCTGTTTTGGTACCAATAACGGCGATTTTCTACTTGTCCATCAGCTAGCCAAGGGATAATCCCCATGTTGGTTTAAGCAACATACATCTGTACATACGTACATCCGACATTCGTTTACTTTAAACAATTCATAAAAAGAATTACTACTCAACAAAACACCTTATTTATCCAATTTCAAACATCCCTCGAGGTATAAAACAGTAACATAAAACATATAAGAAGTGATTTTCACTTTGTGTGAGTTCAATGGAGTGTGAAAAAGTGCATTAATGTCGTCGTCCATAAAACTTGGCCCTCACCCTATGAAGGTTCATAATCCAATGGGGGCACGGGTGGCCCCAGCCGTCTAAGGCGCCGCGATTCGCTGTGCAGAGTTGCGTCCCCTGGACACGCCAGAAACCTATGATTGTGGGTTCGAATCCCGGTTCACCCCGATTATGTTTCTAGGTTTGTAACCACCATACCCGTGCTCGTGGGTTTCACCGAAGTGGTAAACGTCTGAGACCTGCATTACTTCGGGCTTTCCTCCCACATTAAGCTGACACGCCGCGATATAACTGGAATACTGTTAAAATGGGCGTTAAACCCAAATCACACACAATTATAATCCAATGAACTCACAAAAAGTGACAGTCATTTCTTAAGAATTAATTGTCTCACATTTCAGAATGTCAGCAGCAAGTGTACCTAAAACTTCAGATGGATCTTCGAATATTTGTCCCGCGGAGGGTGGAAGCAGAACGAGTAGTATTGACAGATTCCGTTGCACTGGTTGCAGTCTCACACGGAACAGTCTGTCCAACAGCATCTTCGTCAGACTGTGAGAGATTTGGCGAGCGCGGGCCATGTACTTCCAGTGAGATTCAGGCAGAAATAAACACTCACTCAGATAGTGGTATGTGTTGGAACGTCACACAAGAAACATACTCAAGATGTTTTCTGAAAACATTGACTACCAAGTCCTTATATTGACTTGAGTAGGGAGTTATGTGAGAGTTGCCTACATGAAATGTTACCGCGCTCATTACTTTTGCACCCTCTGATGATTGCACTTTATCCAGAAGAGAGTCTAGTGCTTGTGACATTTCAGGTTTGATAGAGGCAAGAGCACCAGATCTGGGTTCGGTACCATGCCCCATAGCTGGGCTAGCACACAGGCGGTACAACGTCGCCTCGTCGAGTTGACATGGGTCTGAAGGAATGCATGAAGACCAATGGGGACATGGCGACCTAATGTTGTAGCTGATGTATCCCATCTGTTGGCCTGAATGACACAGAAATCAGCGTAACATTCCTTACGGCGACGCCAAACACATACACGACCGTAAGCATGAAAAAGATGGTGGCGAGACTTGACACCACTGAGCACGTCGCCAACGTTGATGTTGCCGGGCCCACTGTAAACGTTGTTGACGTTGTAGTGTCAAAGTTGGTCCGACATACGGACGTTGACAGCGGAGTTTAGCCGCGTGGAGACGTCGTCGAATGGTGTCTGCTGATACTGCGGCCCCTGGATCCTGAACTAAAGCTGCTGTTCTGGTTGCAGCTTGAGGACTGGGACCCTCATAACGCCATATTGTGCAGGTGTTGTAACTCTGGGTCGCCAGAATGTGGTCGATCAGTAACGGACCTTTAACTGCTGACGCTGTGCAAGTCTTGTGATAGTGGTGAGATGACATCCAAACTGTCTGGCTAGAACTGTTACTGAGTTACCGGCCTACAACATTCCAGGGAGCCATTCCTCTCTGCACAGAGGGCAGTCTAGGCATCGTTGACGTCAACTGTAGACGTTCTCGTGTGAATACAGCTAAACCTTGATATTCATCTTTATAAAAAAATATATTTGCTCGCGCTTTTACCCCGGTTTATGCTAGAACATGCACAATTCATGGTTTTGGTTGGTTGTGTTTTTGTGTATGTGTGTAATGGACGCCACATTGCATGACGCAAGTTGATACGTCATTTCGGCATTTTCCAATGTATTCAGATAAAATGGTGTGTATACAGTCATTATTAACAAAAAAGGAGCTTGCATTCCTTTTGCTGTTCAGTATAGATTCTGGCGCCAATTCTCAAAGGACGACCAGTTTTCTGTCAAGTGAGACACCACTTGTTTTGGGGATCTGTGTGTTGTTTCTATTGCGATATTTTACTGCAGCTTCACCCTATTATTCCGTTGATTCGACTGACAAAATTAATATGTCCTCAGGTGCGCAAGGACTTGTAACGGAGAAATAAACACCAAGTACCGAGTGGCGACGTATGGGCTCTTTGTCACTGCCACCACGCCAGTAAGGTCTAAGGAGTTTACTTAATCACTCTCTATGTTTGTTGAATTGAAGCGCCATGACACCAAGCTCCTCACAGCGATATCTCGTTCGCGGAGCTCTCTATACCGAGAGTGTAACAAAGGTGTCACGCGCTGGGAAGGAGCTTGCCATGAGACAAGGCATGGGAGGTAATCCTCAATGATGGTAGAATTACATAATGTGAATACCACTAATGGCGTAAATTCCTGATGCAAGTCGATGAGACGAGCCTCACACAGCCGCTTCAGCATGTTCAACTGACGAAATGTGAGCGTTTTATATGTAAGTGGTGCTTATAACACGGTGTCATGACAAGGTTAGAACACGATGGGTGTAAAAAGGTGCCATGACTTGGTTAGAAGTGTCTAAGACTAGTTCCAACACGGATGTAAAACAAAAACCGCTGTGGGAGATGCTGTAACTGCTGCTACAGGCACGTCCGTGACATTTCACGTTTACCAGACTGGTTGGAAAACACGGGAGCAGGACGTTCGTAATGCTAGGCCTACCGTAATGTTTAAGTATAAACTATAAAGCCAGAAAATATAAACCACTTCCTGATCTAGATCAATAACCTGTATTTTCAACCAGGCTAGATGTGTGTTACAACCAAGTTCTAGCCTCACCGTGGATCTGTATTACAACTGTGTTCTAACTTTGTATTATTCTTTCACTTGTAAAGAGTATTACAGGGGTGGAAATTTGTCATTTCCCGACTCCCGGGTGGGTAGAAATACGAGGTCGGGCAACATAAACACTTACTTTAACTTGTCCGGAGGCAAGTAATATTGGAAATTACTATCACTGTCTACATGTCTAACTACTGGTAAAATGGTACAATAAATTAGCTGAGAGAAATTTCGTATTCGCGCTTTCGTAACATCGCCTGTTTTTTCCGCGTAGGTATAACAAGCGATTTCATTGGATTAAAATTGGTTTCTAATGACGCTTTCTTGCCGAATTCTGCTACAAGTTTCGTGATTGGTCAATTTTGAGCACGTGACATCAGGCAGCCAATCAAATTACAGCTGTGATACTAAGCTCGTGTTTGATAAATTTCAGAAGTTGGCGAAAGATTTTTGTTAAATCGTGTTATTCTAAACGTTTTAAGCAGGAAATCACGATATATATTAAAAATATGGAACTTCGTGAATTTATCGTGCTAGGTTACGAGCTGTGACAAAGATTTTTCATGCATATATTTTTGCATTAAACATCGTGTCCGAGCCGAGAATTCAAGGCGACGAAAGCGGAGATGTCATTTGACTTAAATTACACACGATCGCACGAAAAGATGGAAATAATAACTTAGATGTAAGTTTCATTACTTTTAGATATATTTTTGTTGATTTTATATATTACTTTGTACAATATATTTAAAGATTTGTTTAAAACGTCTTTATTTTGCTCTTTGACATGTTCGATGTGGACCCGTTGTCGAAATGTGTGTACGAGAATTTTAATCACATCGCGGGAAATAGTGAATAATGTTTTAATTTATCGATAAAAAATGATCAATTGAAATGAAATTCAGACATTGTGAAATGTGATAGATTTAATAAATGAATGATATTACATGTAGGTCCATAAAAATATATGAAAATATATACTATTTTGACGTGACTACGGCTTGGCTGGAAAACCCCTGAGTATTAGCATTGGAGGATTGCCTACAATTGACTTATCCCACGTTGACCTTGGGAATCAGAGGTCAATGGTATGAGAAAATCTCACTGAAACAATTGTGGTTGCACTTTCTCAAAAAGTATACATGCAGTTATCATTAAACTTCTAGATACATCTTCTTTAGGATGGGATCCTACTCTGACAATTTATCTATCAAGGTTCTCCAACAGTCTGTCAAAGGCCAAGATCATCATTGAGGTTATTGTGAAAGATTGTTGTATCATTCATTGCCAGTTACTCTTGTACGTTTATGGTGTAGAATCCTGAGACTTGGTAAATGCAGAGACCATATAATAGATAATTATATGGTCTCTGTAACGTGCTGTGTACGCTGTACAGTTGTCTGGATAGCCATAGCCAACTCAGGTTAAAGCATCAACGTTTATTAGAACTTGCATGGCTGACATACGCCAAGGGAAGCAACTCTTGTCACAAGAGTGCATACCACGTAACATCTCCCTTCCTTTGAGGAAAACAAATAAAGTAATTAAACCTTTAACTACAGGTACATTAATCCAAGAAATGAGTGACATTACCGAGTCGGTCCATATACTGGGATACAGTATGCAGTTCACTATAACATTCCGTTAAAGCACTTTCCCATAATTCCTGAATTAAAGTTTGCTGTCAACTTGCAATGACAAAATAATTAGTTTTAACTAAACAACATCAGAAACACATTATTATTCCAGTCTTTGGAAAACTGTTAAAGAACACATCTAAGAATTACAAATCAAGACGTTTACCTGGCTTAACTACTCTCCCAGACTTTGTCTTGAACATGTCAGATTTTGGAGATGAGGTATTCTTTGGAACATCTCTTGTTGGAATGACAGAATCAGTCTGAGTATTAGAGAGGTTAGCACTAGACTGAACACATTGCTTATCCTGGATAAGTTCATCATCTCTAGATCTTCTTGGCGACTGGCAGTTTGGGAATGTTGGAATCTCAAGATTAACATCATCCTCAACTCTAGACTTTCTGGCAAGTCGAAGTTGTTGTCTATTCCGTTTGAAACAGTGACCATTATCAGATCTCACAGAGTAGGTTCTTGGCTTGATCTTAGCTGTCACAGTAGCTTCATTCCATTCCTTCCTGCCGGTTTGAATGGGTTGCATTCTGACAGTATCACCAACCCGTAAGGGTTTGAGAGGTCTTCCAGAGTACTTCCGGTTATGTCTCTCAACTACAAGCATCCTTTTGTCTTCAAGTTGTTGCTTGTCATCCGGACCAGAATCATGTTCAATAGTCTTTAACGTACAAGGAACCTGAGTACGCGTTCGGCGACCAAATAGTCTTTGGGCTGGACTTGTTAGTACGCCTTCAGTCGGTGTATTTCTCACATTCAACAATCCCAGGTAAGGATCCTCTTTAGCAGCTAGACATTTCTTCATCATCCTTTTAGCTACTTTAACGGCAGCTTCAGCAGCACCATTAGCTTTACTGTTACCAGGGCTGGAAGTTTCATGAGAGAAACCCCAAGACTGACTGAACTTCTTGAACTTCTCACTGGTATACTGAGGTCCTCCGTCACTGATGACGACTTTAGGTATACCATGAAGAGCAAAGTGGTGCTTCAACTTGGTAACCACAACATCAGAAGTGGTTTCAGGCAGAAAGTCAATTTCAAAGAAATTGCTGTAGTAGTCAGTAGTCACAAGGTAATTCCTACCTTCAATGGTGAAAATATCAGTTCCCACCTTTTCCCAGGGATGATCAGGAATCTCATGCATAATCAGAGGCTCTGGTGATTGCTTATCACTGAAACGAGCACAAATATCACATGACTCGATATACTGTCTTATGTCACTTGACATCAAGGGCCAGAACACAAGTGTCTTTGCACGGCGTAGACAAGAGTTTATCCCCATGTGACCAACATGAAGTTTACTCTTGATCTCATCTCTCAATGCAAGTGGGATGACAACTCTAGGTCCACAAAGAATTATCCCATCTTGAATGGTGAGTTCGTCTCTGTAACTGAAGTAAGGAGTAAGCTCAGAGGACAGATTCTCCTTATGTGTTGGCCATCCTTCCATTATAGTTGATTTCAACTTGGTGAGGGTTTCATCAGATGCAGTTGCAACTCTAATGTCATTCATGAGCTTGTCCTTGATCGGCAGATGATAGACATTATTCACATACACAGTTTCAGAGGAAGGTTTGTCAGGCAATGTCGCTCTGGAAAGTGTATCAGCAATAGGAATAGCTGTTCCAGGTCGATACTGAAGATCAAACACATATCGCTGGGTCCTCAGTAGTAATGACTGCAGTCTATTGGGAGCTCTAGACAAGGGCTTTTTGACGATAGACACTAGTGGCTTGTGATCAGTTATCACAGTTACACTTCTACCACATGTGTAATGGTGGAATTTCTCAAGACCAAAGGTCACGGCGAGCATTTCCTTTTCTATCTGAGCAAATCTTTGCTCAGTGTCAGTTAGCGAGCGACTGGCATAAGCGACAGGCTTTCCCTCCTGCATCAGTACTGAGCCAATGCCATGTTCACACGCATCATTCTCAACTGTCAGCTCTTTCTCTGGATCATAATATGTCAATACAGGTGCCTTGGTAACCATGTCCTTAACCTTTTGGAAGGATTCCTGTTGAGAACTGGACCATGTCCAGGCAACGTCCTTTCTTACAAGGTTACGCAGAGGAGCTAGCACATCAGTTAAGTTTGGCAAGAACTTGGACAAGTAGTTCACAAGACCAAGGTAACGTCGAAATTCTTCAAGATTTGTTGGTGGAACCATGTTTTGAATTGCTCGGACCTTCTCGGGGTCAGACTTCAAACCATCTTTGGTTATCAAATGTCCCATGAAGGTGATTTCGCACAATCGCAGTTCAAGTTTTGATGGGTTCAGCTTGATATGGCTCTCGCGACATCTTGCTAGAAATGCTTCAAGATGAGCATAATGTTCTTCTAGGTTCCGACCATGAATCAGCACATCGTCAGCAATACAGACGACACCTGGTAGACCATCAAGGGCTTGAATCAACTTCTTTTGGAAGATTTTTGACGACACAGAAAGTCCAAATGGCAACCTGAGAAATCAATAACGACCAAAACAAGTTTGAAAGGTCGTAAGAAGACTTGACTCCTCATCGAGTTGGACATGCCAGTATCCAGATGACAAGTCAGCTTTGGAGAAAACTCTAGACTTCCCTAGCTCATGTAAGGTATCTTCAAGCACAGGCAGAGTGTAATGCTCTCTACAAAGGGCTTTGTTTAGTTCTTGCAGATCCAAACAAATTCGAAGTTCACCTGATTTCTTTTGCGTAATTGCGATTTGGTTTACCCAGGGGGTTGGCTCACTGACGGGCGCAATCACACCTAACTTCTCCAGTCTGTCTAACTCAGTGTTCAACTTTGAGCGCAGTGCAACAGGAACACGACAGTTTGGCATCACAACTGGTCTCACCGCACTATCAACTGACAGATGAACAACACCACTAAAGGTACCAAGTTTACGATCCAGCACATCACTGAACTTTTCAGTAACTTCAATATTGGCAACACGCTCAATATTCTTCTCATGAATTGTGACTAAGTTCATGAGTGTAACAGTTTTGACACCTAGGAGAGGTGCAAAGTTCTCTTTCACAACAACAAATTCAACAGAATACTTTTTCTTGTTAGCAGGATTCTGAACAAGAATGTTTAGGCAACCAAGAGGAGTGACGTCAGTCTCATTCCACATCTTCAACTTTTTAGTTGTAGGTTTCAGACTCTTCAACTTGTCCTGGACAATAGAAGACGGAATGATATTAACAGCAGCACCAGGATCAATAGTGAAGAAGACATCTCTTCCCTCCACGGTCATTCTACATTTAGCAGGCTTGTCCGTGTTTGAATCTTCATGCACAGAATTTATTCAATCTTCATCTGGACGCTCAACATTGTTGACTTTGCTGTATTGCTTCTTACTGGGACACTTTGGTGCAAAATGATTCAGCTGGTGACACTTCGTGCACTTTTTTCCCCATGCAGGACAACTTTTACGAGCCATGATATGAGAATAACCACAGAATTTACAGTCTCTTTCATGCTGAGATTGGGGTCTCTGACTTCTCGATGGAGAATTCATCTTTTGACTTGAACGAAGAGGCTTCTTTTGCCTTGATCTCAAAAAGTCTATTGCAACTCTATTGATAGGTTCAGGTCTGATCAACTTTGACTGAACTGACGCATTTTCAGTGGCTTTACAGATGTCGATACATCTTTCTAGAGTGAGGTCCCTCTCTTTGAGCAGTGCTTGCTGAGTGTCGGGATCTCTTACTCCAAGGATGAGTCTATCTCTTATTATTGAAGAGATACAATTCTGACAATAGTTGCAGGTTTTCACAAGAGAACGGATTGATCCTAAGAAATTTTCAAATGTCTCTCCTTCCTTCTGTTTTCTGAGATTGAAGACGTATCTCTCATATGTCTCATTAACTTCACCAATAGTAAATGCTTCGAATTTGTCTAGAATTTCTTTGACAGTTCTCTCAGCTTCTGGTGTTTGAAAATGGAATCCATTGAAAACTTTTAAGGCTTCATCACCAAGTGTGTTTAGGAGCAAAGCTACTTGATATTCCCTTCCATATCCTGGCAGGTTCACAAGTATAGAATAATTGGTCCATTTCTGTTTGAATGATTTCCAATTTTCAGCAATGTTGGATTCAATAACAAGGGGTGATGGAGGTTTTATACCACTAACAGGCCGTTGAGCTTGAGGAGGATTGTCGGCCATATTTGCAGACTTGAAGCAAGGCTAGACTATCTTCACAGACAATACACACTTGTAGCTAGTTGACATCGACAAATGCAGACAGGAATCTCTCGAGTGTGCGGAATGTCACTTATCAGGTCAAATTAAGCTAATAGATTCAAGTGTTCATTCATTTCAGCGAGTGACATCACTGCTGAGACATTTGAATGATAGCAGACGAATGCACGTGGTCTGAAACACCTCGGCTTCCATTATAACATTTCAGACATAAAACTGACAGAAATAGGTCGTGGTATCATAGAGGAGTGAGAAAGTCACCTGCTGCCACCATGTTATGTGCTCTGTACGCTGTACACATGTCTGGATAAAGCATCAACGTTTATTAGAACTTGCATGGCTGACATACGCCAAGGGAAGCAACTCTTGTCACAAGAGTGCATACCACGTAACAGTCTCTGGTAAATGATAACAGTTGATAACATTTTATTGTGCTTTTGGGAATTTGGTGTTGCTTGATCAATGTCCTGAGTCATATCATCGATGGTAGTAACTATGGTTTTCTTTCAGAACAGTGAGAAATGGAAGGAAATCCAGACTCACGTGGCCATCAGATGACCGGACGCCTCACAGAGGAAGCAGCTGATTTACTGAGGAGAACTGAACAAGGGAGACAACCTACTTCCACATCTGCAATACAGCACAACTACAGTGAGTATTTCAAACCTGTACCGTCATGCATACAGCTAGAAAAGAAGGAGTTAGATCGATATCAGATTGTCTGATATCCCACAAATTACAGGAAGTCATATGCATGACATGTGGAATGACATGTGTAAAACATCAAAAGAAACACATCATAAGCCCTATCTATAGGGCTGGGACGGGTAACTGGGGTACTCGGGTGGGTACTGAGCATGACCCGGGTACCCACAGGACAACCTGGACCCGTGGTTAGTCACATTATATATTGTTTAATGACAAAAAATATCTAGAACTCTATGGTTACACCGGGTAGTAAATATGGACTCGTCCCAGCCCTACCTTTCTAAAAAATTCCATGTAAGAGATTTCTCATGATTATGGAAGGGTTTTGTTGCTTGTATTTATCTGATGATAATGAGACCAGAGGTTTTCTAAGTTGCAGGTGGTCCAGTGTCTCATGTGGACTTGACCAATGCTACCAATGTCTCTGTCTCCGTCGGGGAACAAGGATCTAGAGGATGTCTGTCACAAGGTGAGATGCCACCCGGCATGCACATGCTGATAAACTGATGTAGAGGACAACTATTATTATAAGAATTAAGAGAGGATAATTTAGCATGATTCAAACATGCTACAGGACCAACCAATTGTTATTTGGGAGAGGGCTTGGAAATGTATCAAACAAATTGTCCAAGAATAAAATGGGAAACTTTGAATGATCCTAGCTATGTTATCTCTAAAATTTGCTCATGTGATTTCAATCTGATTTTATGAAACATGGCCCCCACAGTGGCCATCTTGAAAATGTCCTTGGTGTTATTTCAGCATTTCTGCTTGTATCATTATGAAATTTGATATGCAGCAAATATGCGTCTTTTGGAGTTACATACATTTTTTGACAAATTTATATTTTTGACCCACTTATGACCTTTGACTTTTACATACCCATTTTTCAAGTATTACTGGTTTTTTTACATCCCAAAAACGACAATACCTATGAACTGAAACTTTTCCAACTGATCCCACTGAACTGAATTTTGATCACAGATTTCTGATCTGATATTTTTCAATACGTCCGTCAATCATAGTCATATTAGGTTACATCATTATCATGAAAATAGTGTCATGAAAGTGAAGACGCTCTCATGGGCAATAAAAATCAAAGTAGGTTCAAAATTGGAAACCATATCTTAGATTCCACCGCACTCTACCATGCCATCATTTTTCATCAAATTATCTGCATTCATTTGGGAGCACATGGGACCCGTGCTTGTTCAGAATGCTTTTAGAGATCTTCTCGTCTGATACTGCTTGACTCTTTATGTTATTTTAAGCAGTGTAAATTGATTGCATGCTTTTTGTATGAAGTATATTTAACAATTCAAATTTTACAAAAAGTTTAAAGATTCTGACAGTGGTCTAGTGGAGAGTGTCTGCCCGGAGAGTGGAAGGTCAGGGGTTCAGTCCCTGGCCTCGTCATACCAAAAGATGCTAAAAGATGGTTCTTGTTGCTCTCCTGTCAGGTGCTTGGCATTATGGGGTTAAAAAAGGACTGGTCAGCTCGGAGTCAGTATACTGTGTCTGAGTGGGGTATTCATGTTAAACTGCGGCGTGGTATCTCAGTGGGCTAGCACTATAAAATAGGCATTTGTCTGGACTAGAACAAGCAGCCACACACACACACACGTGCATGAACGTCGCTATGTAAGTGCAAGAATCTTGAACGAGACGTTAATCCCCATTTCAACTCACCTCACCTTAAAATCAGTGTGAAAAGAAGTGAGTGATATTGATGCACAGAATGTAATTGAACCATCCAGGGTCTACACAAAGGACAAGATGACTGTCTCGCGGTGTAATATCCCAATCATGACATTCGTAGATACTGACCTGTTGATTGGGAACATTCTTGCACGACGATTGATTTGAGGACTGGTCAAGTGGAAGTCCACATGCGACACCAACCAGGCTTGGATGGATAGTGTGGAAGACTGGTCAAGTGGAAGTCCACATGCAACACCATCCAGGCTCGGATGGATAGTGTGGAAGACTGGGCAAGTGGAAGACCACATGCCAACACCAACCAGGCTGGAATGGATAGTGTGGAAGACTGGTCCAAATGGAAGTCCACATGCAACATCAACCAGCCTCGGTTGGATAGTGTGGAAGACTGGTCAAGTGGAAGTCCACATGCAACACCATCCAGGCTCGGATGGATGGTTTGGAAGACTGGGCAAGTGGAAGTCCACATGCAACACCATCCAGGCTCTGATGAATAGTGTGGAAGACTGGTCCAAGTGGAAGTCTACTTGCGACATCAACCAGGCTGGAATGGATAGTGTGGAAGACTGGTCAAGTGAAAGTCTACTTGCGACATCAACCAGGCTGGAATGGATAGTGTGGAAGACTGGTCAAGTGGAAGACCACATGCGACATCAACAAGGCTCGGATGGATAGTGTGGAAGACTGGTCAAGTGGAAGTCCACATGAGACACCAACCAGGCTGGAATGGATAGTGTGGAAGACTGGTCCAATTGGAAGACCACATGCGACATCAACCAGGCTCGGATGGATAGTGTGGAAGACTGGTCAAGTGGAAGACCACATGCGACATCAACCAGGCTCGGATGGATAGTGCGGAAGACTGGTCAAGTGGAAGACCACATGCGACATCAACAAGGCTCGGTTGGATAGTGTGAAAGACTGGTCAAGTGGAAGTCCACATGAGACACCAACCAGGCTCGGATGGATAGTGTGGAAGACTGGTCAAGTGGAAGTCCACTTGCAACACCAACCAGACTTGGATAGATAGTGTGGAAGACTGGTCAAGTGGAAGTCCACATGCAACACCAACCAGGCTCGGATGGATAGTGTGAAAGACTGGTCAAGTGGAAGTCCACATGCCACACCAACCAGGCTGGGATGGATAGTGTGGAAGACTGGTCAAGTGGAAGTCCACATGCAACATCAACCAGGCTCGGATGGATAGTGTGGAAGACTGGTCAAGTAGAAGTCCACATGCAACACCAACCAGTGATGGGCATGCATGTGTCTGTATGGTTGCTAGTACTAGTCCGGATATATTGTGGCTTTATAGTGCTGGGCCAATGAGATACCATGCCACAGTTCAATACGGATGTCCCACCGATACTAACTCCAAACTGACCAATCCTTGTTTTATCCCGTTGATGGTGAATACCAGGCAGGTAACAAGTTCCATCTTTTACCATTGTTTGGCATGACATGGCTGGGGGATCAGGGATGATTATGAGTTTGCTTAGGATCACTGAACGCACCTGGTAAGCAAAGAAAAGACTCACACAATGTTTTAAATTTTTGTGATAATTGTATGAACAGCCTGAATCAGATCCAAGTGGTAAAAATGTGTGGCTTGATTTAAACTCTGCCTTGCTTTTGTGTTGTCTATTCTGACTGGAATGATGCTTTCTATCGCAGGTCCAAATTTGACTATTTGGAGACCAACTTAACATTCACCCAATCAATGTTTCCCCTTTTCCCACAGAACGTTACTGTCAGAAGGTGGAACTGCTCAAGGAGTATTTTGTGGACATCCATGCCCTCCAGACAGCCCAACAGCTCCTTGAGAAGCATGGCCATGTCAGCATCTGTGGAGCTCCTGGAGATGGGAAGACCAGCATTGCTCTGAAGATCTGTGAGGCATATCAACAAAAGAGATTTGAAACAGTGTTTGTGGAAAACATTGAACGTTTTGACGTTGATACAATTTCTAAACGGCAATCCCACATGCTGGTTGTTTTTGATGATATATTTGGTTCTGTCACATTCAGTTCAAATTTGGAAAAACTACATGAATTGTTCAGTGCCTTGGTTGATGATCTTGCTAAAACTGCCGCTGATAAAGAGCGGGATTCCAAGAAGAAGGAAGATAAACAATCAAAAGGTAAGGAAAAGTCCAATGAAGAAACCCCCATCTACAGACTGAAGCTTGTTTTTACATCTAGGACATACATCTGGAAGGAGGGATGTTCAAGACTACATCAGTACAAAGTGGATCTACTTAAAACAGAGGCTATGCTTGATTTGACTAAAGACCATCTCACGGTTGAAGAAAAGAAACGTATGTTACGTTCTTACAAGAGCAAACATCCTAAATGTGATATTTCTGAAAAGGATATTTGTAGCATCACAGATTCCAAACACAACATATTTGGATTCCCTCTTATCAGCAGACTCTTTTTTACTCATGCAGTATTCCAGATGCACAACATAAAATTCTTCAATAATCCACTCACCTACCTGAGAGGTGACCTTGACGCTATTGTCCGGGAAGAAAGCAATAGATCGGCAGCCATCCTCCTCCTCATCCTGTGTGATGGAAACCTGAACCTTGTTTCTTTGCAGTCAAAGAAAGCTGGAAATGTCAGGTTTGATGCTGTGAAAGACGTAGTTCCTTGTTGTACAAGCACCGGCGTTGCCAAGGAGATCAACAACTTTACTGGGGTCTACTGTACAGTCGAGGATCACATCGCATCCTTCTCTCACCCCTCCATATACGATGCTGCAGCCTGTGCTGTAGGACATCTCAATATCGTGTTGCTGCTAAAACACTGCTCCCTGAAATTCCTGTATGAAAGAGTGAGGCTGGGTAAAGGTATACAGTCATCAGACACTGGAGATGTCACAAACATGATATACATCACCCCCCAACTACACCAAACAGTAGTGGACAGACTGGTGGAAGGTATTCGACAGGGCTGCTTCATTTGGACAGTGAAACATCCAGTTCTCCGCGATGAGAGGATTGCCGCCCTACTATGGACAGAGATTAAAAATAACATTGTTGAAATTGTTAAACAAAAGGATAGTGACTCTGGTGAATGCTTTTTGTATTTAGCTTCCATATCTGAGAGTTACTTTCTATTCTCAAAGTCATTAGAAGTTGTTGTAAGACAGGGTGACACATCAACTGATCTATATGACTGTGTGGTAGCCTGTGTAGTTCATGGCAAACTGAAACACCTGGAACACCTCGTTACAGTCATGAGTCTACGTGGAGGATTCAATGTTGAATTTTCCATAGACGGGAAAACCCTTCTGATCATGGCTGCCAAGTCAGGACAGTCAGAGGTGTTCAACTTCCTCATCCAGAAGGGTGCTGATATTTCAGTGACGGACTGGACAGGAAGCACCTGTTTACATTATGCCTGTGAATCAGGAAGTATGGCATTGACTAGAAAGGTGGTTGAAATGCATCCTGTTTTACTAAATTCCTTAAGTTCTGAGGGTACAACACCTGCAATGTTTTGTGCCAAAGCAGGTCACCTTTTCATCCTGAAGTTCCTGAAACAAAAAGGAGCCGATTTAACTCCTACCGACTACAACTTGTCAGATTGTTTGCACTTGGCGAGTAAAAATGGCAATCTGTCAACTGTGAGGTTTTTGATTTCACTGAAAATGTTTAATGTGAACAAGAAGGTAACATATTTAATGCAAACATCAGCTATGAAGGCAGCAGAAGGAGGCCACTATGATGTTTATCATCTCCTTGTATCCAAGGGTGCAGATCTGACCCTTACTGATGGAAACAACAGAGACTGTCTGATGTTGGCATGTGTGGGAGGAAACATATCTATAGTGAAACATGTCTTGTCAATGAAAACATGCGACATCAACAGGCGTGGAGGATATCGTAAACAAACACCAGTTATGATGGCATTGAAAGGAAGACACTATGATGTTTATCATCTCCTTGTGTCTGAGGGTGCAGATCTGACCCTTACTGATAAAGACAACAGAGACTGTCTGATGTTGGCATGTGAGGGAGGTAACCTATCTATAGTGAAACATGTCTTGTCAATGAAAACATGCGACATCAACAGGCAGGGAGGAAGATTGAAACAAACACCAGTTATGATGGCATTGAAAGGAAGACACTATGATGTTTATCATCTCCTTGTGTCTGAGGGTGCAGATCTGACCCTTACTGATGATGACAACAGAGACTGTCTGATGTTGGCATGTGAGCGAGGAAACATATCTATAGTGAAACATGTCTTGTCAATGAAAACATGCGACATCAACAGGCGTGGAGGATATCGTAAACAAACACCAGTTATGATGGCATTGAAAGGAGGACACTATGATGTTTATCATCTCCTTGTGTCTGAGGGTGCAGATCTGACCCTTACTGATGAAGACAACACAGACTGTCTGATGTTGGCATGTGAGGGAGTTAACCTATCTATAGTGAAACATGTCTTGTCAATGAAAACATGGGACATCAACAGGCGGGGAGGAAGGTTGAAACAAACACCAGTTATGATGGCATTGGAAGAAGGACACTATGGTGTTTGTCATCTCCTTGTGTCTGAGGGTGCAGATCTGACCCTTACTGATGATGACAACAGAGACTGTCTGATGTTGGCATGTGAGGGAAGAAACATATCTATAGTGAAACATGTCTTGTCAATGAAAACATGCGACATCAACAGGCGGGGAGGAAAGTTGAAACAAACAGCAGTTATGATGGCATTGGAAGAAGGACACTATGATGTTTATCATCTCCTTGTGTCTGAGGGTGCAGATCTGACCCTTACTGATGTTCACAACACAGACTGTCTGATGTTGGCATGTGAGCGAGGAAACATATCTGTAGTGAAACATGTCTTGTCAATGAAAACATGCAACATCAACAGGCAGAGAGGAGAGTTCAACCAAACACCAGTTATGATGGCATTGCAAAGAAGACACTATGATCTGTATCATCTCCTTGTGTCTGAGGGTGCAGATCTGACCCTTACTGATGAATACAACAGAGACTGTCTGATGTTGGCATGTGAGGGAGGTAACCTATCTATAGTGAAACATGTCTTGTCAATGAAAACATGCGACATCAACAGGCAGGGAGGATATCATAAAGAAACACCAGTTATGATGGCATTGGAAGGAGGACACTATGATGTTTGTCATTTCCTTGTGTCTGAGGATGCAGATCTGACCCTTACTGATGTTCACAACAGAGACTGTCTGATGTTGGCATGTGAGGGAGGAAACATATCTATAGTGAAACATGTCTTGTCAATGAAAACATGCGACATCAACAGGCAAAGAGGATATTGTAAAAAAACACCAGTTATGATGGCATTGGAAAGAGGACACTATGATGTATATCATCTCCTTGTGTCTGAGGGTGCAGATCTGACCCTTACTGATGAAGGTAACAAGGACTGTCTGATGTTGGCATGTGTGGGAGGTAACCTATCTTTAGTGAAACATGTCTTGTCAATGAAAACATGCGACATCAACAGGCGGGTAGGATATCGTAAACAAACACCAGTTATGATGGCATTGGAAAGAGGACAATATGATGTTTATCATCTCCTTGTGTCTGAGGGTGCAGATCTGACCCTTACTGATCAATACAACAGAGACTGTCTGATGTTGGCATGTGAGGGAGGTAACATATCTATAGTGAAACATGTCTTGTCAATGAAAACATTCGACATCAACAGGCAGAGAGGATATTGTAAAAAAACACCAGTTATGATGGCATTGGGAAGAGGACACTATGATGTATATCATCTCCTTGTGTCTGAGGGTGCAGATCTGACCCTTACTGATAAATACAACAGAGACTGTCTGATGTTGGCATGTGTGAGAGGAAACATATCTATAGTGAAACATGTCTTGTCAATGAAAACATGCGACATCAACAGGCAGGGAGGAAGATTGAAACAAACACCAGTTATGATGGCATTGAAAGGAAGACACTATGATGTTTGTTATCTCCTTGTGTCTGAGGGTGCAGATCTGACACTGACTGATGTATTCAACAGAGACTGTCTGATGTTGGCATGTAAAGGAGGAAACATATCTACAGTGAAACATGTCTTGTCAATGAAAACATTTAACATCAACAGGCGGGGAGGAAAGTTGAAACAAACATCAGTTATGATGGCATTGAAAGGAGGACACTATGATGTTTATCATCTCCTTGTGTCTGAGGGTGCAGATCTGACCCTTACTGATGTTCACAACACAGACTGTCTGATGTTGGCATGTGAGCGAGGAAACCTATCTATAGTGAAACATGTCTTGTCAATGAAAACATGCGACATCAACAGGTGGGGAGGAAAGTTGAAACAAACACCAGTTATGATGGCATTGAAAGGAGGACACTCTGATGTTTATCATCTCCTTGTGTCTGAGGGTGCAGATCTGACCCTTACTGATGAATACAACAGAGACTGTCTGATGTTGGCATGTGAGGGAGGAAACATATCTATAGTGAAACATGTCTTGTCAATGAAAACATTCGACATCAACAGGCGGGGAGGAAGGTTGAAACAAACACCAGTTATGATGGCATTTGGAAAAGGACACTCTGATGTTTATCATCTCCTTGTGTCTGAGGGTGCAGATCTGACCCTTACTGATGAAGACAACAGGACTGTCTGATGTTGGCATGTGAGCGAGGAAACATATCTATAGTGAAAAATGTCTTGTCAATGAAAACATTCGACATCAACAGGCGGAGAGGATATTGTAAAAAAACACCAGTTATGATGGCATTGGAAAGAGGACACAATGATGTTTATCATCTCCTTGTGTCTGAGGGTGCAGATCTGACCCTTACTGATGAATACAACAGAGACTGTCTGATGTTGGCATGTGAGGGAGGTAACATATCTATAGTGAAAAATGTCTTGTCAATGAAAACATTCGACATCAACAGGCGGAGAGGATATTGTAAAAAAACACCAGTTATGATGGCATTAGAAAGAAGACACTATGATGTTTATCATCTCCTTGTGTCTGAGGGTGCAGATCTGACACTGACTAATGTATTCAACAGAGACTGTCTGATGTTGGCATGTAAGGGAAGAAACATATCTATAGTGAAACATGTCTTGTCAATGAAAACATGCGACATCAACAGGCAGGGAGGAAGATTGAAACAAACACCAGTTATGATGGCATTAGAAAGAAGACACTATGATGTTTATCATCTCCTTGTGTCTGAGGGTGCAGATGTGACAATGACTGAAGACGACACAGACTAGAATATTGTTACCTGTATTTATGTAACTTGACACCAAACTCACGAGGGCTGCTTACATCTGGCACCTTCCTCCACCAGTGTCTGAGCAAGGTCTGTTCATGTGAGTGGAGGAAAAGGCAGGACAACGGAATAATGTTCCTGGTTGATTTAGCGTTGAGATTTCACACTGGCATCACCACAGATTCCTTGCCACACCATGTCGATCGACCTCCAGATCACATCAAACATCCCTGCCATTTCCCTCATCGGTGGTGTACTCTGATAATCCTATCATCGTTGGCATCGACCTTTTATCACAAAAGAACAGCCTTTGCCAGTTGCTGTTCTGCCACTAAGAAATTGTGTGTGCAAATCTCAGTCTCTGATGTCAAGGTTGGCGTCTTGGGGCTACTCCATGGAATGATATATGCGCCTGAATACCATGCTCAATCAGAGACACCGTCCGCCTGCTGACTGGACGATCAGGGGTTGTTGCAGCCGATGACGTCATCACCAAAATTGGTGAGAAACCCGAAGGTAGCGGTTGTTGTTTTGCCTGGTCACGGGTGATCTGCTGCATCTAGGTCTTTCCCTGGCACTGTCTCTTTGGTTGAAACGAGCCATCAATCTGGTGATTAGGATGTGTGTGCAGGCTGAGGTTGTTGCTACATCTCTTTGGGTAGCCCCCATCTGTATCACACCAATGGCCCTTTCTCTCTGCTCAGGTGATAATCTTGGCATAAGTGTTGCTTTGTGTAAATTCTGATTGAATTGGTTTTTATACCCTTTGGAGATTATTCTGCACGTGTATTGCCTTTTGATTATTTAAAGCCAATTCTTACATATTTTTGTTTTCAAAGACGGTCATGTTGTTTGAGACCTGTGAAGATCTTCAGCAACCCATGCTTGCTTTAAAAGGCGACTGTGCTTGTCGTATGAGGCGTCTAACCGGATCGGGTGGTCAGGCTCGCTGACTTGGTTGATGAATGTCATCGATCCCAATTGTTTGGATTGATGGTCATGATGTATATCACTGGATTGTATGGTCCAGACTCGATTATTTACATACCACCATCATATAGCTGAAATATTGCTGAGTGCGGCATAAAACAACAAACACATACTCACAAGTTGGTTGAAGCATAATAGTAGTACACTAGTATTGTAGTGGTGTATACAGCAGTATGATGTTGTAGTGGTGTATACAGCAGTAAGGTGTTGTAGTGGTGTATACGGCAGTAAGGTGTTGTATTGGTGTATACAGCAGTAAGGTGTTGTATTGGTGTATACAGCAGTATGATGTTGTAGTGGTGTATACAGCAGTAAGGTGTTGTAGTGGTGTATACAGCAGTATGGTGTGGTGGTGGTGTATACAGCAGTATGATGTTGTAGTGGTGTATACAGCAGTAAGGTGTTGTAGTGGTGTATACAGCAGTAAGGTGCTGTGGTGTATACAGCAGTAAGGAGTTGTAGTGGTGTATACGGCAGTAAGGTGTTGTAGTGGTGTATACAGCAGTAAGGTGTTGTAGTGGTGTATACGGCAGTAAGGTGTTGTAGTGGTGTAAACAGCAGTATGATGTCGTAGTGGTGTATATAGGAGTAAGGAGTTGTAGTGGTGTATACGGCAGTAAGGTGTTGTAGTGGTGTATACAGTAGTAAGGAGTTGTAGTGGTGTATACGGCAGTAAGGTGTTGTAGTGGTGTATACGGCAGTAAGGTGTTGTAGTGGTGTATACAGCAGTATGATGTTGTACGGGTGTATACAGCAGTAAGGTGTTGTAGTGGTGTATACAGTAGTAAGGAGTTGTAGTGGTGTATACAGCAGTATGGTGTTGTAGTGGTGTATACAGCAGTATGATGTTCTAGTGGTGTATACAGCAGTATGATGTTGTAGTGGTGTATATAGGAGTAAGGTGTTATAGTGGTTTATACAGCAGTTTGGTGTTTTAGTCGTGTATACAGCAGTAAGGTGACGTAGTGGTGTATACAGCAGTATGGTGTTGTAGTGGTGTATACAGCAGTAAGGTGTTGTAGTGATGTATACAGCAGTAAGGTGTTCTAGTGGTGTATACAGCAATATGATGTTGTAGTGGTGTATACAGCAGTAAGGTGTTGTAGAGGTGTGTACAGAAGTTTGGTATTGTAGTGGTATATACAGCAGTAAGGTGTTGTAGTGGTGTATACAGCAGTAAGTTGTTGTATTGGTGTATACAGCAGTATGATGTTCTAGTGGTGTATACAGCAGTAAGGTGTCGTATACAGCAGTATGGTGTTGTAGTGGTGTATACAGCAGTAAGGTGTTGTAGTGGTGTATGCAGCAGTAAGGTGTTGTAGTGGTGTATACAGCAGTATGATGTTGCATTGGTTTATACAGCAGTAAGGTGTTGTAGTGGTGTATACAGCAGTATGATGTTGTAGTGGTGTATACGGCAGTATGATGTTGTAGTGTATACAGCAGTTTGGTGTTGTAGTGGTATATATTGCATTCCAACTATATCATAAGCATGTGCATAAGCAGTAAGGTGTTGTAGTGGTGTATACAGCAGTAAGGTGTTCTAGTGGTGTATACAGCAGTAAGGTGGTGTATACGGCAGTATGGTGTTGTAGTGGTGTATACAGCAGTAAGGTGTTGTAGTGGTGTATACGGCAGTAAGGTGTTGTAGTGGAGTATACAGCAGTATGATGTTGTAGTGGTTTATACAGCAGTAAGGTGTTGTAGTGGTGTATACAGCAGTATGATGTTGTAGTGGTTTATACAACAGTAAGGTGTTGTAGTGGTGTATACAGCAGTAAGGTGTTGTAGTGGTGTATACAGCAGTATGATGTTGTATTGGTGTATACAGCAGTAAGGTGTTGTAGTGGTGTATACAGCAGTAAGGTGTTGTAGTGGTGTATACAGCAGTATGATGTTCTAGTGGTGTATACAGCAGTATGATGTTGTAGTCGTGTATACGGCAGTATAGTGTTGTAGTGTGTATATATTGCATTCCAACTATATCATAAGCATGTGTTTATGAATTACTATAAGGGTAACGCTCTTTTTCAGGGCATAAAATTCCTTCCTCGGGCAGTTAATGGAAGACCTCGGGCTCCTGCAAATGATAATGCCCTGAAAAATAGCGTTATCGTTATTATAGCTAAAATGGATGGAATTTGTTATCAAATAAAAAGAAACAACAATATCGGTTTTGAAACATTTACTGCAATCAATACGAATGTCACTGACCCACTTTTACAAATATGGAAACGTCATAGAACAAACCAGATGACGTCACTATTGAACGTCACGTATCCCTATCCTATGACATCACCTAACAACGGGCGTGATAATGGCCCGTCGTCAAGCAATATGAGGGCATTATCAAGTTGCAGTGGCCCGCTCATTTCTGATAACATGCGGGCGGTTTAATGATAATTCTATCCATTTTAGCTGTAATGTTAAATAGTGATAACGCCATATATTGTATATACCATAGCACCATCTAGATTGATGTAGCTGTTATTAATCAGCTGTATATATTTAGATAGGGTGGTGCATCTGGATTACCATATGATGTAGTATTTCTCGTGTAATGTAGACAACATGCCACATGTTGGAGTTTTTCTACTTTGTCTGTCATGATCTATGATAATGAATATACTATGATAGTGAATATATCCTCACATGGTTTAGACATACTTGTAGTGTGGATTCAGGTGTATGGTATATGTTACCTTGTATAACTATTGGTGAAGTAGTATTGATGACCAAACATATGTCTATTTTTATTTGATATGAATGATGTAATATTGTGTGTTTGTGTGAGGCATTTTATGCATTAAACCTGACATTGCATTGATATGAATAATGCCATGTAAATAGCATTGTATAGTGTTGTAGTGGTGTATATAGCATTGTGTAGTGTTGTAGTGGTGTATATAGCATTGAATAGTGTTGTAGTGGTGTATATACCATTGTATAGTGCTGTAGTGGCGTATATAGCGTTGTGTTGTAGTGGCGTATATATCATTGTATAGTGTTGTAGTGGCGTATATATCATTGTTTAGTGTTGTAGTGGTGTATATGGCATTGTGTAGTGTTTTAGTGGTGTATATAGCATTGTGTAGTGTTGTTGTGGCATATAAAGCATTGTATGGTGTTGTAGTGGCGTATATAGCATTGAAACGTGTTGTAGTGGCGTATATAGCATTTCTTAGTGTTGTAGTGGTGTATATAGCATTGTATAGTGTTGTTGTGTAAATAGTTTTGTATAGTGGTGTATTGGCGTGTGTAGCATTGTATGGTGTTGTAGTGGCGTATATAGCATTGTATAGTGTTTTGTGGCGTAATTATCATTGTATAGAGTTGTAGTGGTGTGTGTAGCATTGTATAGTGATGTAGTGGCGTATGTAGCATTGTATAGTGTTGTTATGGTGCATGTAGGATTGTACAGTGTCAAAGTTGAAATGTTATAAATATATACAAAAATGAGGTAAATGTTCACTCGGTGTACATGTAATATATAATAAAATAATAAAGTCCACGTTAGTCCATCATCTTCTTTATATCAGTATCTTTACATAGTAGTTTCGCTGTCCACACTGAAGAGCTGTCATGAGACAGCGAAAGTACTATGTATGAAACTGATATAAAGAAGATGATGGACTAACGTGGACTTTATAATTTTA